GTGATTCGCACTCATTACCCTACAGGACTGCTTAAATGTCAAGATAAAAAGTTGTGTTTAACTTGTTGAGGTGTCATCGGGAAAAGCAAATAAACCCAGAAGGGCGGATCTCACTCAAAGGTCATGCTATATATACGGTGGTTGTGGAAGGGAATCCTTTACTACGAACTACTTCCTGAGAACGAAAAAATCAATTCCATTCAACACCGTTCCAAACTCGAACTCAATGCAGCTTTCAATAAAAAGCGGCCTGCATAATAGGTTCTACATCAAAAACCTCACTTCCGACCATGCCCTTTGCTAAAGGTAATAAATAATGCCCTCAATGTGTGGTGATTAGTGACCGTTAGTCGATGATTATTCGGAGATCGTGAGATGCGGTCTGGTATGATGTAGGTTTTAGAAAAACATTTTCTTTATCGTGTCACGTTTCGATCTTTGTTGAAATCATCTTCAGGGTCTGGGATTTATAAACATTGTTTAAATTTAACAAATACATGTAGAATGTGAAAAAGTGAATATATACAATGCTAGAAATATTTTTTATATTCAATCAAAGTATATTTTACTCACTCAAAGTGTTTGTTTTCTGCGTAAACACTTTGAGTGAGTACAAATACTTTGATTGAGTTTAAAATTTCTAGCATTGTATATATTCACTTTTTCACATTCTACATGTATTTGTATAATTTAAACAATGTTTGTAAATCCCTAGCCCTGAAGATGATCTCAATAAAGATCGAAACGTTGGCACGATTAAAAAAAAAATGTTTTTCTGAAACCTACATCACACCAGACCGCATCTCACGATTTCCGAATAATCATCGACTAACGGTCACTAATCACCACACAATTATAATATTAATAATAATCTGCATGATGCTTTAGAGGACGTGAGAACTAAAAGAGATAAAAGAGTATTTGATAAATAAATTGAAAGAGAAAAGGGAAAACCATCCCAAGAAACACGAAGCGGACTTAATATTTGCAAGAGCTAACTTGATTAAGTAAATGTACAAGGTTTGCCCCCGGGTACTCGAGTGAAAACCCATTTTATACCCGAGATGTACAAAACTACAGAATCACTCCGTTAATTTCCGATTTGATCGAAACGATTCAAAACCAAAAGTAAATGTTGTATATATACAAGATGAACAAAGGTAATAATACATTTCGAAAATAGACAAAAACCCAGAATATTCAAATTTCCCGTCCAAAATTATCTAAAAATCAGACATATGACCCGTTTAACGAAATTGAGTAAATATTTTGTTAATTTAACAACAAATATTAAATGTTTAATTCATTAGCGCAGAAATAGACAACAAAGCAAGAACTGTTGAATCGGAAATTTACAATACATGTGATGAAATGGAGAACGCGTCAAGGGTCCTATCCTCCGGGATAAACAATATATTTATTATTGCTGAGGAGAACCTGAAGGATCAAAGCCTGCTAGGCTTTTAGTATTCTATTAAGTATCCTGTTAGGTCCTTTATGAGGTAGAATTATGTTCTACCCTAGTTACTCACACCAATAAACGACACTCTGCGGTATTTCCGCACAAATCATTTTATATATTTATCCACGTTGTATCGACTTGCTCCGAGGCTTAAGAAATAATTAATTTACATTTACATGCGAAATTGGAGTTTCGGATGTTGTAAATTGGCCCCGAGATCTTTTCCATCTCGGCCTCATTTATTTTACTAATCAAATTTTAAAACCCAACCATCTTACTACATGCACGGCGTACTTTCCAATTTCGAAAATTTCATTTGGAATAAGAGTTGACTGATTATCCACTAACGCCATTACGAATTATTTACAACTCTTTTATTAGTTTCGATCTATTTCCAATATCAAAAGGACTAGCAAAACTAACAAAACATAATATTGAAAGTTCCAAGTGTCACAAACTATTAATGCTAGTGTTTACTTCTCTGGGGCTAGGTGTTTGATTTTGCAAACTGTGAAGTTAGACGAAGTTTTTTCTACATGTCAACTGTAATTTAGGATATAATAGTTTATCAATTTTACAATATATTGTATGCAGCTATTGATAAATTTGTACCCAAGAAGGTTATAAAATGTAGTCCTTGTCCAGTTTGATTAACGAAAAGGGGGACGAAGTGGCTAAGGCCGGGATGTGCCAACCCCACTGACACTAAAACGGCATTTAAAACATGATTTAAAAAAGTGGCAGCGTCGGTGGGCCAAATCGGCAAAGAGGCTTTGGCCCTAGGAGGACCTGACTCATAGAAGAAGGGACATCATCTCCTGATTAAGAACAGGCGATGCAAGGTTCGCACATGGACATTTACTTTTAAACCAAAGCCTGTACAAGTGTCCAGCATTAGAGAAAGGTTGCTAGATGTGTCCCACCTAATTGAAGGGTTCAATTTTTTGACTCCATATATAGATTTACACAGGAATGCAATAAGAACAATATTCTTAAGCGTATCAGCTAGTATCTGGGTCCCCTGTTCTATGGCAATTTCTATGGACAAAACAGGGTTGTTTTATTGTATACAGTACTGATATTTCGTGTCTCCATAGTGTGTGTTGAGAATGAATGTATTTATAGACGTGAATGTATAGTGAGTGAGTCTATGGCGGAATAATGCGTACTCCATCGATCCTCAGTTAGGTTAGTTATATAATAGGTGTAAAAGGTAATGGAAGAATATCGAACATTCCACCATCCTAAATGAATGGTATGTAAATAATTAGGGGGCTACTCTGGAGCCCATTGGCAACCGAACAGATAAGACCGAGGTCTGACCCTGGAATTGCCAAAACTCCCAGGGTGGTTGATTCTCTAGGCCTGTCGGTAGTTTATTGTAAATTACAAAAGCTGAAATTGCAGGTGGACTGCTCAAAATGATAGGCTCAACTATGTACACACTCATATGTATGTGCATGTGTGTGCAGATTTGAGCTTATATAAATCAGTTACTCAGTTTGGTTCAGTAGAAAATTAATTGAATGTATAAAAGTGAAGAAATTAGATCAGAAGTGTAATGAAAATTTACACTACTGATTATGAAAGGTCTTCCATCCTCTGCTTTAACTCTATCTTGTAAATTTTCTTACATATCTGATGTCAAAAATAAAATATACAATACCGCTAATATTTTTGAAATTTTATTAACTCAAGCAAGAAGGACTTCACAAACAGTTTGTACTTTAAACACGAACATTCAGATGATCCTCAAGTTATAATTTGCTAAATACTTCTCTTCAGTATATGAATCTTGTTCAGTCAATGCCAAATATCATTTTAATAACTGTAAGGATGGCAATAATCAATTTCTTGAATCCCTCGATAAATCCACACTGTCTGTGATCAAATTCTTCCTTCCCTTTTAAAACAATGTGCAGGGCCGAGTGAATGTGACCAGACAGCTATGTTTGTGATGATGTATATATATTTATTGCATGTTTTGTTTCTATTTTGAATTTGAAAACCTGAGGTACAAACAGAGGCTAGTATTTTAGGAGATTGATGTAGTATACATTTAAAAGCAGAGAGCCAGTAACGAGATCAGGAAGCTAGAATTGGCGTAAAACAAAATACACACGAAAGAACAGAAAAAGAAGGAAAACATGCAGAGGGCCGGCAATGGCCTCAGCTGTTTGTCGGCCTATAAACCTCCTACTCTATGTATGTAAAATACAACAAGTATGACCTATGGATTTTTATAATTACTCAACCACACCACCTAGTTATAACCAATATAAACTGCTTAAAAATGAATAGGGATATTTGTAATTTATTGTTATCCTATTAATATTAATTAAATTAACCGATATATTCTTGTTAGTTTACAATTGTTCATTAGTATTTCGAAAACCTGGGAAGTTCCCATCTGCTCCTTCCCCCATTGTCTCCAAACCTCAATCCTACTGAGTACACGTGGGATGCGTTGCAGAGAAGGCTTTTCGATCACCCATCCATAGTCAGTTGACCTGCAACAACTGAGTGCAGCATTGCAACATCTATGGATTCCTTATGAAATTAGTGACCACCTTATTAGCAGTATGCCTAACAGGTGCACAAAGGTTTTAGCTAATAGAGGACATTATACACGGCAATAATGGTTTAAAAAAATGATTGTGCCCAATAAACAAAATTAGGGAATTAAAACTTTTTATTTTGTAAACTGCTCAAACTATATTTTTGAACTTATTTTTCTAAGTCGCTTGGTCTATGTCAAAATTGACATTATGCATGGTATTGTTTAAAAAAATTATTGTGCCCAATAAACAGAATTATGGAATTGGTTTTTTTGTTTTGATTTATATTTTGAAGTTTATATTGTTTTTTTTTGTTTTTTTTTATAATAAAAATTCTTTTGCTATGTGGCAAAGCATGTTTGAAAAATCCTCCTTAATTTGTTTACCATCCAAGCTACCTCCCAACGTCCAAAAACACCTTGGCTTTATCGAAGAATGGTGCAAAAAGTGGAGGGCAAGACTGAATGAAGAAAAATGTACTCAGTGTACATTCACATTAAGAAAATAGTCTTGCCCTCCATTGTACATCAACAAGAAAGAGATACAGACTTCCACTTGAGTCAAATATAAGGACTGTACCTAGACAGCCGATTGACAAGGAATCCCCATACAAAACTTAAGACATTACAACTCAACAGAAGACTTGGACAGCTATGAAGACTTCAAGGACCTTGACCACCAAAACTAAACTAACATTTTATGAGACTTTACTGCAACCGCTTTGGACATATAGAGTGGAACTGTGGGGTTCTGCTAAGCCAACCAACATCCAGCGCATCTAATCCTTCCAGCTTTTGCCACTTTGGATAAATTTCTAGTAATTTTGGGATTGGGAAATTGGATTTTTTTGGGACATCAAGGTATCCCCGTTACAAAGCTAAGAACTATTTGCATAATTTTAAAATATTCTCTTTGAAAAGTGTTTGAATTTTAAAAAGTATTAAAAATAATTTCCACATTTGTACAATAGAAAAACTTACCTTCCAGCAATTCCATTGGTCTGAATCTCCTGAATGAATATTCCAAGTTCACCTTTCTCTTCACTTCTTAGGCCGACAACACTAAACCCTAGGCTGCTTCCTTCTGGTTTAAAAAGCTGAAAAAGGTAAAACAAAAATGTACAACCTTATTACTTGAGAATATATCAGACTGCTTGATCTTCTTAATTTTTTAAATGCTCACCTTGACTGTCAATATATCTCGCCCTTGAGAAGACTCTTCAACAGCTTTTTGGAATTCAAGAGCATAGGGCACATTGGTTATTGGAGGCAGGGATGACTCATCAATTCCAGGGCTTGTAATCTATTTAATAGTAATAAAAAGAGTCTATATACACAGAACCTTATATATGTATTAGCACACAAAACGGTAAACTTACAGGTGGTGAGTTTGCTTCTCCTGATGAGCTTTGTGATAATTTTGCCTCAGGTACTCTTTGGTCGTCTATCTCTGTACTAGGAGTAGTAGTTATAAAATCAGCCTCATATATTGGTGGTGGTACATTGAGCACTAGATCTCCTCCTGGAGTTAAATCAAAATCAACTGGGAGTATGGAAGGGTGCTGTTGGATTTGGGAATTTAAATCCGTTAGTGAATCCTAAAAAAATATATATATTATAAAAACAATCAATTTAAACTGAGAAACAAATAGAATATAAATAAAATACCTGAATAGAGACAACACTTCTAAATATTGGATTTTCCAATAATGAAATAATAAGATTGAGTTCATCATTAGTTTGAGCTTGAAGCTTGATATCATCACTTTGATTTATAGTTACTTGGATATGTTCCAGTAATTGAAGTGCACTTGAAATATCTAAAAATAATTATCAATGTCAAAAATATACAGTAAATAAAATAACATAAATACAATTAACATGAATGGTACATGGTTGATTACACACATTAAGTTAATGTTAAATTGAACACTACAGTATGCATTGTATCAAACAGATCAATATTTACAAGATGGCATTCATGATATTCTGAAAAATTACTTTCCAAAAACAGATTACTGATGTACATAAGCTCAAATCTGCACACATATGTACAGAGTTTAGCCTATCATTTCTCGAAGTCCACCAGCAATTCAAGCTTTTGTAATTTACAATAAATTACCGAATTCAAGAATCACCCTCTTCAGGTGGTGGCAGTCCGGGAACATGCCCTTGTCTTATCTGTCCATACACCAAGGTTGGGCTGTAGGGGCTATAGACATATGGGTCATTTAAGTCCTCGTCAATATGTTCTTATATTCACACCATTACTCACATAGGAGTGGTAAAGTACTCGATATTCCTCCATCACCCTTCACACCTATTATATAACTAAGTTAATTAAGGGACGATAGGGTATTCAACATTCCGTCGTTGGCTTTCTCTCATTAAACTTACTCTCATGCCAATAAATGCTAGGGACACAAAACTATCAGTATTATATTCAGAAAAACAAGCGTTTCCACCAAAAATCAGAACAGGGGATCCAGATGTAGATGTATTAGTAGGTGAGTGCATCATACTGTGCCTTTTAAGAGCTGTTGTATCCCTCATTCTGTGCTTATAGCACACCAGTAGGTCCTAGTTCATCGAGGAACTTGATTAGAAGTCCCAGTTTCAGTGGTTGGATCTCTCCTTCGGTTACACTGTATGTCTCAGTATGTAGTACTACACTTTTTTAGTAGGTGTGTTGGTGTTTCCTCTACTTCTTTGTAGAATCTGCACGTGCCATGTAGGGTTTTGCCAATCTTCTTCAGATGTCCATCTAGTTTGCAGGGTCATGTTGACTCCTGTTAAGATTCACAGTTTTTTCCTGCTTCTTTACTGTATTCTGTTATCTCTTCCCTTTTAAAGTTTGTTAGGAGGTTCTTGGATTGTTTGTGTCCACTGAATGAGTACCATTGTTCCCTCATTTTCTTTTTATCCTTCTGTTTGAGGTGCTCATTGATGGTGTGGGTTCCTATGCCACAGAAGAACTCGAGCTCTATCAGCAGTATAGCAGTCCCTCTTCTAGTAAGGGCGTCCGCTTTCTCATTGCCTTCTACTCCCACATGTCCTGGGACCCAGCAGAGGGTGACTTTGTTTTGCATACCTAGTTGGTTTAGTTTAGTTTTGCAATTCAGCACCATTTTAGAGTGAAGATGTTTGAACTTAACACCTTTGATGGCTTCTGGGCTATCTGACATGATAGCTGGGTTTTGTACCCTTGATTGAATTGGGTACTTCTCTCCAGTGTGTAGATCTCAGCACAGAAGATACTGGTGTATTTTTCTATGGGTTCTATGTTTTTGGTTCCAGGACCAAATACTTCTGCCCCCGTACCTTCTTGTGTTCTAGATCCATCTACGTATGTGTAGTAGAGAGTGCTATTCTTAAATGAGGTGTTTTTCTCTATTTCCCATTCTTTTTTGGAAAGTTTATTTGGAAAGTTTAATTAGACTCAAACATCCTGTTCATGTCATCTCTTGGGGCCATGATTAGCACATAGTCTTTCAGTAGACTGTTGCTATCTCTCCATTTTAGTTTTATTCATTATTTATTATTATTGTTATTGGAGGTTTCTCTTTGATAATACTAACAATAGTTTTCTGTGCTGTCCTTATTGTCATGTGGTGGAGGGGGGATTAATCCCAGCATCTTCTTCATACCAGATGTTGGGCATTTGTCTATATATGTATTTTTGTGAGTTTGCATTTTGTTATTTGTTCTACTTTGCTATGGCACCATATATATATGCAAGACTAGGCCTCACCATCATGGTGTACATCCAAAGCGGGGTTTCCTGACTGCATGCCCAATTTTATCCCACTATTCTTCTGCACCACTAAAGCTCATGCCGCTTTCTTGATAATGGGGTCGATATATTCTTGAAATGCCAGTGTTCTGTCTGGTGTGACACCAAAATATTTGGCTTCTTTCTTTATTTCTATCTCAGGATTATTGAGTTTTATTTTCAGTATTAAAACGACTATGGTCACGAGTACTCGATACTCGCTGCCATGCTCAAGCCCAACCCTCATATTGGGTGAGATTCCTACACCCTATATATATATGAAGCCAAGAAATTGCAATCTTTAATTAGGTGGGACCCATCAAGCAATCTTTCACCGAACACAATGCGGGCTTTGGACCAAAAGTAAGTGTCCGTGTGACCAAAACAGAGAAAAACTCCAAGTGAGATATGTAATGGATTTGTGTTTATATAAAACATTCGATCCTTACAGACCTAAATTATTTACCTGAATTCAACGGCATGATGACACCCATGTAGACTAATCGAAATTTACACAATCTAAAAGAAAAAAGTTTCTGTTAATAAAAACAAATTTTTAATCAAATAATTACAATCTTTATGGTCATATGTAATGATAAAAAGGTCTGAAGCAATAAAAACATATACACCACCACCCTAGAGGTCTTCCAATCACTAGTGGAAATGAGGAAGTCAGATCTGATGACTCATTGTGAGGGCACAGATTAAAAATTGTGCGAACTTCGCATCTTTAATCCCCCAAAGTGTTCTTAGATAAAACCAGGTTAAAATGGATTGGCACTTTTTTTATTTAGAGGTTTTATTAATAATTAAAATTTGGATTATAATAGCCTGATTCTTGGAGGCTTTAGATCCAAGAATTTCCCATTTACTAGGCTTATTTGTGAGATGAGAGATTCTTATTAGAAAACGAACTAAATACGTTCACTTTGAACTTACACCTTTTTTTGTTGCGGAAACACGCTAGTGCCCTAATTCCCTAAAATTGCGTAATTAACAATGTAATATTGTTAAAAAGAATTTTCTTATTTTTTATTCTTCTTAATGAACCTTTATTAAATAAATTAATTTGATAAAATATGACAATTTTTATTGGGACTTACTAATAGACAATTTAAACAATGTTTTTTATAATAGACTTCGATAATATAATAAAATATTCAATAATAACACATTCCATGGAAATGGAAAGTGGCTTTCCAATTTTCCATTTTTCTTTAAAATGGCTCAGAAATTTAACTAAAATGGGACAATCTCTCCGGAGTCTAGCAATAGACTATGGACAATTTCTTTATGAAAATATGGCCAGCTATTATTTGTGATTTTTCCAAAACATAAAAATTTTGCAGTTTAAATCTTGTTTTGAATTTATTCATAAATTCGTGACACATATATACAAAAATAAATTATTAACTGTCAAAGCCATTGATTATTTATTTGCAGTTCGAATTATGTCATCGCCTTTTGGAATTTTATATGACAGTTGTTGTAAACTGGTCTATCCGTCATTCACGACACGCCAAAAAGTTAAATGAGTGTTGAACCCCCTTGAACGACAGAAGCTTTTCCTTCGTAATATACATATTAGAATTAAACTTTGGTCTGTTGTTAACCTAAAGATGCAATTATAGCAGCGTTAAAGGCGATAAATGAATCATCTCCAGAATAAGGAAGAAACAATTTTTTGACCATAAACAATCAAAACTGATTGAATAGAGCATTTTATTTACCAATTAAAAACTAGTAAACTCAAGCTTTATGAAGCTCCATATTGATTAAAAAATAAATGCTTAAATAAAATTTAGTAAAATGTAATTTATTTTATTTTTGTATTTATTTATTTTTTACTTATTTATTTTGTTTCATTTTTTTTTTTTTTTTTTTTTGTACAAAAGGCATTACTCTTAATGATTAAATATATATTGAAAATCAAATTGACATCGTATTTTGCTCACTTTTAGATTGTTATGGGTTTGCGTTTTGAGTACCTCAATGGGAAAATTAAATTAAATGAGCCAACTACAACTTTATCATATCACAGAACACTAGAATCACGCAAAAAAATCGGCTGTCATAAAACTTGGGAGGTGATGTGGGTGGGTTTGTGTTTTGAGTAGTTCAGTGGGCAAATTAAAAGAAGGGAGGTGGTACCAAAATGAACTGAAATGGGCCAACTACAACTTTATCAAATCACAGAACACTAGAATCACGCAAAAAAATCGGCTGTCATAAAACTTGGGAGGTGATGTGGGTGGGTTTGTGTTTTGAGTAGCTCAATGGGGAAATCAAAGGAAGGTCGTTACAAATGATTTCACAAATGCCCTTGTCACGACCACGAAAGATTTAAAATTGATAATGACTGATTTTACTCATTAAATTTTGTTTTTTTTTTCTTTCTAATAAACTTCAACAGAAGTAAAGAACTTTCATACCTGTCGAGGCTTTGAAAAAAATATGAAACATCGAGATTATCAAATGAAGGATCGTTGATTGCAAATCGACAAGTGTCATCAGCTTGTCAAACCGTCACAGAAAGATAGAGAAAGAATGTAATATATTGAGTCATTAAACAACTTTGCCGGGAGGAATGACAGATAAAGAGACAGCCTGTTTTCACCATAAATTAATTGTGTGAAAAATAAAAAACTAAGATGAGATAAGTAGAACAGATCAGTGACAGCTGTAATGGTATAACAATTCACACTTACTTGTCATAAAAATGATTTGAAAATCGTCCTCGGTTGTAAAGCAAGTCTCAAAAGATTCTAATGAATTTCGACTTGTATAAATGAAACTGTGGTAATTCCACTGCGAGCCGGCTGGGAGATTAAATTTGACATCCTAGTCAACTCAGAATTGGAACGCCTTTGGATCGGTTTGTCGTTTATAAAAATATTTCAATAAAAACACCTTTTATCTTCGAAAGTTTGTAAACGGTTCACTGTTTATTATCGTCGAGGTTGAGACTCGTGCAGACTTTCCTGCCGGCCGTCTGGAATCCTCCTTTGTAAATGTTGTCGGCCTCCGGCTGAGACTCTACCCAGAAACTGTCCCAGAACGATATCAGGAGTGAAAAAAATGCTCAAAACAGTTGTTAACAGTTGACGGCCAGCTGTGAATCGACATTCGATTTTACATCGATCATCGAGACAGCGTTGCCGCGACCGGGGGAAGAAATTCGAAACATTTCCCCACTACTTAAACCCCAAAAAAAATCAACTTAATAAATAAACGTAAAATAAATCCGTGACGTTTTTTGAACAAATCCATTTCATATCTTGTGTTTTGAAGCAACCTTTATTTAGACATTATAGTTTAAACACTGTTAAAAGGGATTAAGTTAAGGTGTACCTCAAGATTAATATTTTCTTTGGTGTTTGATCAGCCTTCTCAGTTTAAATATACTTTCCTAAAGGTAGATTTGGCCTCATCCCCAATCTACCTTTAGGAAAGTGTACCTCAAGGCTCACATCTTGGTCCAATCTTGTTTTTTCTTTTTATTGATGACATTTCAACTTCTTTCTGTGGCTGGGAGGCTCACAGAGGCTCTCCGAGCGGGTTGGCCCCGGACACCGGGAGAGTTTGGTCCTTTCCATAAATTGCTTTTAAATGGTTTTCAACCACACACTCCAAGAGTGGTCTGTCAATATGTTATTTATGTAAGGAAAACAATGGTTGAGCTATTGGGTGTATCTCAACGGTGCGTGCCTCAGGGGCCATCATGGCTTAAGTTAATCTCTGACCAATGGACTTTGTCTAGGGTCATTAAAAATAAACTATCTTCTATGATGTTAGGTTTCTTGATCTTGGTCTACTATTGTTTTTTTTCTTTTTATTGATGACATTTCAACTTCTTTCTGTGGCTGGAAGGCTCACAGAGGCTCTCTGTGCGGGTTGGCCCCGGACACCGGGAGAGTTTGGTCCTTTCCATAAATTGTTTTTAAATGATTTTCATCTACACACTCCAAGAGGGGTCTGTCAATATGGTAGATGGATAGAAATACTTTATTTTACAATTTTTTGCACATCATGAAACATATTTATAAAAGTATGTACAACATGGAATTAAATCCATCTGTCGTCGTAGATCATTTTAAATTGTCACACATAGTTGGAAAATGAAAATAAAACTTAAAACTTGTATTAATTGTAGAACATAAAAAGAATAGAAATAAATACACAGAAAAGTAATGAGTTTTTCATCCAGATCAGAATTTTTTTTATGATTGTGGTGTTTAATGAAGGAAAGGTGTATACGAAGTTAAAAATTAAACTACTGGACTATGTATATTTACAGGCGTGGCGAGAATACTATATGAAAATAAAAAAATATGTGTAGAGATTAGTGACCGTTAATCGATAGTTATTCAGATATCGTAAGATTATCCAACCGCATCTCACGATATCTGAATAACTATAAAAAAATATGTTATTTATGTAAGTAAAAGAATGGTTAAGCATTTCAGTGCCTCCTGGCGGTTGGCAGCTCCAGATCACGGGATGGCTGCTCATCGGCCAATAAAAGATTAAAACACTCTGCCCACACCACTTTCTTCATGTTTTCAGTGCTAGAAAGATTATTCCTAATAGCCCAGCCATAATATTTCCGAATAAGCTGGATGTTGGTATCTGAGAGGCAGTTTTTGCCCCGCTGTCACTCACTCTCTTCCTCTTTCTCTCTCTCTCTCTCTCTCTGGTCTTACGTACCCGTATAATTTTTCTTCAAAAAAGGTAAAAATTTGAAACTAAACTAAAAAATATTAAACATGTATTTTTTGTTTTTTTGATAGCGACATTGGTTCAAGAGAAATTCAGCCGGGCCATCTAAAAAGGTCACCCTGTAGAGACAGGAAAAAGAGAGAGAGAGAGAGAGAGAGAGAGAGAGAGAGAGAGAGAGAGAGAGAGAGAGAAGGTGTGAGTGATAGTTAGATTGAGTGAATGACTNTTATAATATAATTTGTTAAAAATAAAGTTACCTGTGTTTCTCTTTTTTAAACAAGCTATTTTTTCTAATTCAATTCCATAATTTCAGCATTTGCTGTTTTGTACAGCTTTTTTATTTAAATTAACAAATTTCAAATTATACTGTAAAAAGGATGTTTTATCTGTTTATTCTAATAAATAAATTAATAAAAAATTCCTGTTGATTGAATATTTAGGAGTTATGGGGTAGCACAGTCCTACAACGCGGTGAGCCGAAAAGCGGTCGTCGGTTACAGAAGGTTACACGGCGGCTACAGAGCACAGGCTCCAGAGGCCCTGATCTCTCCACTGATCTCCGCCTGATCGGCATGGGCCCGTTTCATCCACGATCCGCCCCTGGGACGTACGGCAGAGCCGATTAGTTACGATCCTATGCCAATCCAGCCTCAAAGGTATTTCTTTTTCTTTTTTTTCAAAATTTTCTTCCGGATTTTACTTCTCTGCCGTTAGAGATGAACCGACATAGTTGCTTTAAGATATCCTGTATAAAAAAAATCACAGTCGTACCTGTAGCATAGATGGTGTAAAGATTTATGAATCAGATTTTTGTAAAAATTACTAATACACTGACAGGCAAAAAATTCCACCCACTTGTAGTATAACTTGATTTGTATATATTTTTATATATTAATCAAAGTTTAACGTTTAATAATTGAGTCTTTGTTTAAAAGAGTAAAAATGAAATGTAAATTGCTAAGGAAAATGAAAAAAAAGGTCAGATAAAATTTATTTTACATTTTTAATTAACATTTCAATATCGTGTATTTCCTTCTCTTGGTTTAATTACACTTGAAGACGCCTCGGCATACTTTCTACCAGTCTAGAAATGCCTCGTTGCTGGAGGTTAACCCATTCTTCACGAGGAGCACTTTCAAGTCTTTTGAAGTTATCCCACAAATTGACGATGGGGTTCAAGTCTAGAGAACGGGCTGGCCAGGCTAAGACCCTGATGTTATGCTGTTAAGGTACATTTGTACTATGCGAGCGATGTGTGGACAGGCATTATCGTGTATTAGAATAGGATTGTCGCTTTGGATTTCATCGAGGATAGGCAATGCGTGATGTTCCAAAATTTCATCCACATAGCAAGTGGCCATCAAAGACCCTCCACGAACAACCAACTCTGTGGGACTCTCCATTGAAATTCCTGCCCATACCATCACTGAGTTATGGTGAAAAGGTTGGCTCTGGGAAAAATTACAGCCTTCATACCTTTCATTTTGCCTTCAACACACTCTTTCACGCCCATCTGGAGATGTAGAGCAAATCTACACAAACCTACCCTCATCTGTAAAAAGTACAGTAGACCAATTTGGCCAAAGACCAATGGCTGTGTTCTCGTGCAAATGGGAGGTGCAACACCGTGTGTTCTGGTCCTTTTACGGGGTGAAAAGCCATCAGTCCATACTGATTTAATCTTCTTCGAGCAGTGTGTTCAGAAATTTGGACACCTCGAACTTCCTGGAGCTGATGAATCGCTTGAAAAACAGTAAGGTGCCGATTTCACCAAATTCTCAAAGTCAAAAAAAGGTCATCCTGTGGTTCTGTTACCCTAGGGCGTCCAGAACCGGGCCTTCTATGGTAGGACCCACTTTATCGAAAACATCTAACAGCGTCTCGCAGTGTTTTGTAGGGAACGCTGATGGCAATAACTGCATACGTGATGGAACGTCCATCATCAATAAGTGCCACACCACACACTACATCCTCAGCATTTAAGTGGCATTTTTACGTTTAAAAATTGTTTTTTTTTTTGTCATATACAATTATTTTATATGGTTATTTCAATGACCTGATAAACATAGGAAATTAGGAAATTCACAATTGGCAAAAATGAGTCACTATTTTTTGGAATAGTAGAACCATCACAGGAGAAACCTGCAACCAGTACTTAAGATTTTTTTTTTATCCAGGCTTAATCGTATAACTACTTCAACATAAACTTTGTCACATCCTGCATACTCCTATATATTTAGTGTGATCTATTGAAATTACTCTTAGTGCATAAATTATATTGATCTGAGATTCTTTCTTACTTAATAATCTGGGGGTAAGTTAACAGATATAATTAGCACTGTGTACATTGATTATTTGCATTTCAACTTACTTTATTTTTGTTTCTAAAGCTGGTTCAAAAATTTCCGAATTATTTTCAAATCAATAAGAATCATACTTACTCTCACAATTCATGTTGAGAAACGTGATTGTAATTTCCTTGAGCCTGATGATGAGATAAAAGCTTGTAATCTGTATTGTTGAAAACAACTAACTGTAAGTAGGAACTATCTTTTTATTTAAAAAGATAGAATCATATATATCTCCGTTTCAACATTCTGTTCACTGTAGTACTTCTTAAATAATATATGACCCTACTTATCAATTGAAAGCGGTTAGAACTTCCCTCATTAATATTTTTGATAATTACAATTTAAATCATAAAAATTGTTAAACCTGTAGGACTTAATTTATGGAACTTCATCAGAACTATCAATGGAGACGGTGGTCACTTCACCAAGCAACACTTCTTAAAATAGCTGAAGTGGATGAAAACAAATCCCACACCGTTGTTGACTTTGTTTCAAATGTAAAGGTATCTAAATATTAACAATTTTTGCTAGACATAGTGTATTCCTGTGATTTAGAAGTGCATGCATTTTATGTTTAATGACACAAACTAAATAAAACTGGTACAATTACGTAGAACGGTTCCTTGACCCCACCTACACGCCATTTTTTGTGGATAGACAATAAGTCGAAGACTAACAAAATTATTAGCAATTGATGTCGCATCAGTTCATAAAGAAAGTGACTTAAACAGTACAGTGTAAAATCACAATTTTTGTATTGTATGAGTTCACTCAATACTAGGGTGGCTAAAGCAGCTCATACAATTTGCACTGCATTTGGTGATGAAACAGTAAGTGAGCTCACTGCTCAATAGTGGTTCAAAAAGTATGCTTCTGGGAACAAGGGGATTAAAGATAAATCACAATCTGGTAAACCTGTCTTCAATAAAAACAAATTGAGGGAAGGCATCAAACTTGATTTGAGTAAAACATATCAGGAGCTTGCCAGAGTATTCAATGTAAGCTTTGAAACCATTCACTCTAGCTTACATCGACTTGGGAAAAAAGTGGAAGCTGAGCAATTGGGCTCCCCATAAATTGACTGATGGCTTCAGTGTATATATTTGCCTTTCATTGCTTTGGCGACACAAAATAGAGATTTTTTGGCTGGATTGTCACATCCAATGAAAAAAGGGGAAGATACAAAATGGTTTAATCTACCAACAGAAGTATGTTATTATTGTTTCAACTATGATTCTAGAATATTTCCAAGGATCAATGTCACAAAGACAATTATGGAATCATTAATGACGTCCTCCCAAAAGATTCTATCATTGAACTAAGTTTCTCGGCGAATCCTCAAGGGAAATACAATGAATCCACTAAGGGAGATTCTCCTATCATCTCAGAACAAGGTAATATTTCCCTTTTTATTTCAATTTATCCATGAATTAAAAACAAAAAACAAAAATTATGGTACTAGTGTCACAATTATTTAAGCCATATAATTTTATACTACACTTTAATATTTATTTTCACTAATTTCGTGGTCTGCTTGACCAATTAATATATTACAATTAATTAAGGTTTTTAGTTGAGATAAAAAAGTCAATGGCACTAGCGGGATTCGAACCCACAATCTTCGGCTTGATACGCCGCTGCTCTACCACTTGAGCTATAGTGACCTCGATCCACTCGGACACCATCTTCCCATCTAAACCTCACCTTTTGAATTTTCCTTCCTTTTTGCAATTTTTCAATTTTAATTTTTATTTTTATTTTAAAATGAAGTATACTTCACTAAAGCTCTCCGTGGCCATTTCATTTGTCGTCGAGAATCCAATCCGATTACACAACGTTTGAAAAATGGCAAAAAGGAGGGAAAATTCGAAAGGTGCGGTTTTTGATGGGAAGTTGGTGTCCGAGTGGATCGAGGTCACGATAGCTCAAGTGGTAGAGCAGCGGCGTATCAAGCCGNTTTTTTTTTAAACGTTCACCCTTGTAAAAGCGATCCATTATCACCCGCTAGACCCGTTAGCTCTATGGTGGGAAACGCCCTACTGAAAGAAATTGAAGGATAGTTGATTTCAAAAGTTTGTCTAAAATGTCTAGAATAAACTACAATGCGTATGACATGGAAGATGTCGTGAAATTCATTTGAGGCATTGCTTACTGTACGAAAAAAATCTCTTTTGTTAAGTGTTAGATTTTTACAGACATCGAAATTTACAGTGATAATTAAGTAACTAGATGTATGGGACAACAGAGGTTCTGACGTTTTCCTAATTGAGAAAGACAAATCAAAGACCAGCCTCGTTTGGAAGGCCAAACGAGCTAAACAGTGAAGACTTATTAATGGTATTGGAAGATTAGAACAAATTCGCTGTAACATAGCTATCTGAGACATTTCACGTACATCACACAACATAGAAAGAAAAATCCATCTCTGGGTTACGTTGTGAAACTTGATTCATGGGCTCCTCATGAATTGTCCATCAGGAACAAGGAAGACCGAATGGCTTGTTGCATTTACTTCCTATTTAGTCATTGAGGATGAGAAGAAGAGCAGGATAGCCCCCACATAAGGTTCTATTCTCTGTTTGATGGGATATTCTAGGAATAATTTATTTGCAACTGTGTGCAGCTAGAGTATCTTAGAGCAGGGTTGAGGGAAAAATGAATCACCATGACAACGGTCTCACACAGCTGCATTCACTCAGATTAAAATTGCCGAGTTAGGCTGGCCCACCATCTAAACTCTCCAGACCTTGCCACCCCCAATTTTTACTTATTCTGCTCCCTAGACAAACACAAAAAGGTAGGGAATTTTTGATCGAAAACTTTCTGAAAATTCACTTACAGATTTCTTCTCATCTAAGTCATCCGACTTTTACAAAAAAGGAGAAACTTCTGCTACCAAAATGTTGGCAGTACGTTATAGATAACTTAGGAAGTCATGTTTTGGATTAAAAATAAAATACATTTATGTTTTGAAAGTTTGACTTTTTTCTGAAAACCAAAAAAACTTTTTCACACACCCAATAGTAACCATTAAATGTGTGGTGATTTGTGACCGTTAGTTGATGATTATTCAAAAATCGTGAGATGCGGTCTAGTGTGATGTAGGTTTCAGAAAAACATTTTCTTATCATGCCAATGTTTCGATCTTTATTGGGATCATCTTCAGGGCCTGGGATTTACAAACATTGTTTAAATTTAACAAATACATGTAGGATGTGGAATTTATACAATGCAAAAAATATTTTTTATATTCAATCAAAGTATTTCTACATGTAAACTCACGCAGCTACACCAATATCATTAATCAAATTCAATATCAATAACATACATATATCATCACATCACACAAAACACATATTATAACATATAAAACATTCATCACATTCCACACATCAAACATTTTTACATAGTTTAATTTTTCGACAATTTAGCTTTCCTTTTCCTATTTATCCCTTTCTATATAATCCTGAAAAGATAATCTGTCCGAACCATTACCAATGTTTTTCCCCTACGTCGGCTCTTTTCACCTCAAAGAAGATGACTCCTTATACAAAAATGTCTTTCTATACCGACTTCCTTCCTCACCTCTTCAAAATCCAATGTATATAAACATAAAACAGCAATATCTCGCTGGCACTCTCAACATGACAAGCACAATTACTCAGAAAACAAACACTTTGCGTGAGTACAAATACTTTGATTGAATCTGAAATTTCTAGCATTGTATAAATTCATTTTTTTCTCACATCCTACATGTACTTGTACAATTTAAACCATGTTTCTAAATCCCAGGCCCTGAAGATGATCTCAATAAAGATCGAAACGTTGGCACAATAAAGAAAATGTTTTTCTGAAACCTACATCACACCAGACCGCATCTCACGATTTCTGAATAGTAACATTAAATATGTGCCATTCTAGCAGTGTATTTAAATTTTGTCTAGTACAATTAATTAAGGTTTTTAGTTGAGATGAAAAAAAGTTAATGGCACGAGCGGGATTCGAACCCACGATCTTCGGCTAGATACGCTGCTGCTCTACCACTTGAGCTATTGTGATCTCGATCCACTCGGACATCAACTTCCTATCTCAACCCCACCTTATGAGTTAACTTTTTTTCATCTCAACTAAAAACCTTAATTAATTGTAATGATTTAATTGGTCAAGCGGACCACGAAATTAGTGAATTTTGTCTAGTGTTTAAAAAATTTTTAATATGAAATAGGATTATTAGATGGCAACTAATGTTACAATATCTAAGAAATCCATTTCCAGAAGTTACAAACCAAATTCTCAATGCATCCTAACCTTACTGCCCAAGCCCTTTCTACACTTAGTATGTCATCCCATTCCATATTGAGTGCCTATGTGGCTGGTTTCTCTTAACCCGTGCCTTCTCAGTGTAGTGCTGGCTATAGTGCCATTGTTGTAACCTGGAGCAAAAAAATCTGAATTTTTACTTTTGTTTATTTTATTATTTACGTTATTAATAAACTCAGAATACTTTTCAGATATTCCGACTCTTGCCCTTAACATCCTTGACTGTATTCAAGAAGGCCACAATATTCCTAGAGTTATTTCCATTTTATCAAATTTGTCAGTGGACATTTTAAGTGAAACTATACTCACTACGTGGAATAAATTGCCAAAAGATGAGAGTCCAGAGAAAAAGCGATCTTTTTTCATTGCTATGTCATCGACAAAACCATCGAGAAGAGCGTTATGCATTGATGTCATCTTGCCGTTGGTAAGTATAAAATATTATGTTCTTATAATCTACTAATTTCAAAACATTTAATATGTGCTTTTTCCAGATAAAAGGTCAGGAAACGTTTTATGCAAATCTCGAGTTACTAGAGCCAGTTGTACACTGGCTGGATATCGAGATTGCCGACACACTGATATTACCCTTATTGGATGATGAAAACTCAATTTTCATAAAGGATGATTTGGCATTCCGTCATTTTTTTTCAAGTTTATCCCAGGCACAAAGATCGCATACTCTGAGGTATTGAGAAGAAAAGTGTCATTTTGGTAGGGAATAATGAGGCGCACAGTTTTAATACAGAATATATGTTTTAGAGATAGGTTGTTTCAATGCATCTTGCAAACATGTAAAAACATAATATGTGAAAAAATAAAGAAATGAAGTTTTTTCCTTAAAACCGATACTACAGGGGCCCACCTCAAAGTAATTTTGTTGTGTTTTCCTAGGGCCATTGGCAGTTTAAGCACTCCAAGATTAGTAAGAGATCCAAGAGCTAAAAGCGTCCATCTTAGTGCCTTTATAGCTGACTGACTGTCAAAAAATATGTAAATCCATGCTCCTTTCATTTTCTTCTTCCTGTGCACTGAGTTGAATTGCATGGACCTAAGCTTGGAAGATATTTTGAAAAAGTCTAAGGTATCCAGGCTGATGATCAAATTTAGCACTTACCTAACTTCTTAGCATTGATGGTTACTACAATCTTTTTTTTTTCTTACAAAAAAGTTGATTATAAAAATAACAAATCAACTGTAGGCATGCTGTTCTATCCACAAAATAGTCCGAATTACCAACCTTAAAATTGTTTTGCTGCATAAAAGCACATATAATTCAAACCTGGAGAGGAATGGAGGCATGGTTTAAAACAGTGGTATTCTTCTGATATTCTTTTATATTCTGATATTTAATATATATATCAGAACGTATTTGATATTCTGATACTCTTTATGTTCTTTTCGGCCAGCACCTCACATTTTCACCACCTTGTGTTGATAGAACTGTTCGGACTTCATTTCTGCTCATATTTACCCCTCCATATCTGGTGAAAAGGCTCTAAAACTGATGCATATCCTTGCATTCAAACTTACATTAGCCTAACCTTTGGTGGGTTTCAGTGCACTCGATATTCCGCTGAATGCGCTCATTCACGCTATTACAGTTATACTGATTATAACTGTTCTTACCGTGTGGACTGCTTAAAATTGGGGAGCCACTTAGGTATTAATATTACTTCTGTGCCTCCCTCTTCACTCTAATAACACCTAACCTAGTTTGGTTATGGTAGTTATGTTTGTTATAAATAAAATAAACAGTTGGATTGTACGAGAATTACATACATATTTTTTTTTTACAATCATTAATTACAGTTAGGAATAAAGGAGATGAAATTTTCAGTTAATTAAAATCTATATTTGTTGTATAATTTTGTATCTCTTTGAGTTCTATTAATATACATATATTTTTAGCATTTACCTTTCTGAACACCCAGAAGGCGTACAAAAGTGGCAGTTTATTGCTTTAAGCATATTGGTTGAAAGTACGCACATGGATGAAAAACTCATGTCAAGCTTGGTGCCGATTCTGGATAATCTGCTTGTACATCACAATAATGACAGATACATTGGTAAAATAATTTTAAAATTGGCTGAAGAACTAACTCCAAAGAGTTCCAAAAACCTGGTAACAGGGCTGATCTCCCTTTGTGAGAGTTTTAAAGGCGTATTGAGGTTTAGAATAAGAAACACGTTGAACATTTTAAACCAGGAATAATATTTATGTGTTGTATTTAATAAAAATTCTATTTTTTCAAATGTGCCAATAGTTTTTAATTAACCGTCTCTTATGTTACTAACAATTTTGCAACCCTTTTCCAGTTAATTTTAATAATTTTATCACTTTTGACGTATGACTTTTCTTTTAAAAATAAATATTTATTATTAATTTTATGTTTTGAATTGTTTATTTGCTTGAGTTTTGTACTCATAATATAACTTGTGAGGTGTCATAGTATTAAATATTATGCCACTGCCTCATCCATCATCACTTTAAAAACAAATAATAACTAACCTATTTTCAATGGAATGTAGTTCACTCTATATTCGACCACAATCCCAACCACACATGCACTAACCTTCATCCTTTTAAAAACACACACAAAACTAAATTTATTCATCCAGTATTATTTATTAATAATAACTGGTGAGGTATCGGTGTGCTCAATATTATGACAGTACCTCACCCCTTAATAACATGTAACAACTAACCTATATTTGTGGATGTGTAGTTTACTCCATATTAAACTACAATCCCTCACACATACACAAAACTCCATTCTTATAAAAATATACATACAAATTCACACAAGTACAGACTTATTAATTATAATAAAGTTGGTGAGTCATCAAGTGATTTGATATGCCACTGCCTCATCAACTATCAAAAAAACAAAAACTAACCATAATTCCTGGGTGCGTAGTAGACTCTACCTTCCAATACATCCATCCCACACATACACAAACATTCATGCTTATAAACCAATCATACAAAACTAAATTTATTCAACCAGTATTAATTACAATATAACTTGTGAGGTATCATAGTATTAAATATTTGGCACTGCCTCATCCATTATCACTTTAAAAACAAATAACTAACCTACTTTCAATGGAATGTAGTTCACTCTATATTCGACCACAATTTCAACCACATATGCACTAACCTTCATCCTTTCAAAAACATGCATATAAAACTAAATTTATTCATCCAGTATTATTTATTAATAATAACTGTTGAGGTATCGGTGTATTCAATATTATGACAGTATTTCACCCCTTAAAAGCATGTAACAACTAACCTATATTTGTGGATGTGTAGTCTACTCCATATTAAACTACAATACCTCACACATATACAAAACTTCATTCTTATAAAAACAATCATACAAAACTAAATTTATTCAACCAGTATTAATTATAATATAACTTGTGAGGCATCTTAGTATTAAATATTTGGCACTGCCTCATCCATTATCACTTTAAAAACAAATAAAAACTAACCTATTTTCAAGGGAATGTAGTTAACTCTATATTCAACCTCAATCCCAACCACACATGCCACTGCCTCTACACCATCACTTTAAAAACAGATAATTAATTATAATTACCTATTTTCATGGTTATGTAGTTTATTCTATATTTGGCCTCATTCACTATGACTTTAATAACATGTATAGTAAACAGAATGGGACCCAGTATCGAGCAGTGAGGAACACCTGATGCTGTTTTGTGGGAAGATAACATACCATGCGCATCTCAAAAGCACCTCTTTTTGGGAGACTCAAGCATAAAAATTTTGTTACATATCAGAAAACTGTACTTCATGTGGTAGGACAACTTTATTATGCCATTGGGTTGAAGGCATTTTTTCTATCCAAGAGGACAAGACCTGTTTAAGTCATTTAGGTCTGAGTTGAATTTTGAAACTTTCCAGCATTCAGGGGCTAATTGAAAGAATGACAATTAAGGATCAGTGCTTTTTTTATTTTTTGCTGGATAGATTTACTAATTTCCTGTTGGAGAGTTAGTTTTTCAAGTGAGGAGATTGTCTAAATAAAGTCTGTCAACAGTGAGATGACAGATTCAAAATATTACTTTCTTATCATCAGTAATGCATCAAATAAAGCAGATTGGTGGAGGAATGTTATTAATATCTCTAAAAATATATTTAAGATTGAATGTCGAGTTAAAGTAAAAAACGGGTTGGGTTGCTACAAGTATATAGTCAATTAATAAAACAATATCATACAATCCAAGAAAATAGACAAAGTATTAAAAATTGCTTTCAATGTAACATTAATTTGTCAATTTATTTAAACAATTTGACTCAAAAAATTAAATATATTTAGTTCATTTGATTGATATGTAAAAATAACGTTTATCAATTGAATAGGTACATAAATACATTTGTAATGTCATTATTCATAAACCTATATAAAGTAAATAAAACTAATACAGAATAAATAATTCAATTAACATGAAATGTCACAATTACACATATTTCATATATATAAAATGTCTAAATATTGTTGTAGTCAACATGATAAAATTATTAGTTCTTATCAAAGAATTATTAAAAGATAAAAAAATACGTATCCACAATCTCTATATAATATATATGGCCATAAAAAAATTCACAATTTAACTGTCGTTTTTTTCTCCCTTTTTCTGTTGCCACGTAGCACCCAAAATCTTCATTATTTCATGTTTCGGCTTATCCGGATTAGATTTTGCAACAGCTTGGTATTCGGAAAGAACAAATTTCTGGAATTCGTTTGTTTCCTTTGGGGGCCGTCCATTGACAGATTTCAATACTACTTCTCTCCCACAATATTTACAGACTTTGATCTGATTTGAGGGTAGTTTGGTCATCTTCCCCAGCCTAAAAAAAAAAAAATTGAATTACGATTAGAATCAAAATGGCAATGTCCAAATTGTTGTAAGAATGTACTTACTCGCGGCCACAACCACATTCATAAATATACTTCCAATTTCTTGCGTAATGATGGCGTACATTTATCTTAGGAATCTCTGGGAAAGTTTTGTGGAACACATCTGTCCTACAAATATATTTAAAAATTATTAGAAAGTAACCGGAAAATTCTTGTTAAACCCTTCCCTTAATGCAACAATCTGTGAGTTACATGTCATTTCTTAAGAGTGAGTCTATGAGATGAGTTGTTTAAAACAGTTTAAAGTATGCATCCATGATCTTCGTTTATTTCAAATATACAAGAATAATTTTTTGCCTATTATTTCTTCATTAAATTTATCCTTGTGCAGAAATGTGCCCAGCGTAAGGGTTGCCTACCAGGGCACATAGGGCAGAGAGGCAACAATAAATAGGTCAAGGAAAATTCCATGAGGTCAAGCGATCCATACACAATGGATTAAAAATAAGTCCTCCCCATTGCGAAAAAGTTTAAAGGATCATCACAGAAACTAATGGAAGAACTACTAAATATAGGATGTGTTATGACTAGAATAACGGTTGGACTGCTGACTGGACAATCAGGAGGCATATCTAATGAGTCAGAATAGCAGACACCAGCTAGAAACAGCAGAACAAGTCCACTGCTGTAGCTTTGCAGGCTGAGGAAACCCAGGCCTGAAAGATACATACGTAAGTCCTTGAAAAAAGCACACAATAGGCACTGGTTATGGTGCTCAGGTTGTAGAAAGGACAACTCCTACTCAAATCTTATTCGTAAAATTGCTAAATCATAGTTGATACTTTAAGAACCTTAATCTTGAAAAATGGCAAAAAGGAGGGAGAATTCAAAAAGGTGCGGTTGAGATGGGAAGTTGGTGTCCGAGTGGATCGAGGTCACGATAGCTCAAGTGGTAGAGCAGCGGCGTATCAAGCCGAAGATCGTGGGTTCGAATCCCGCTCGTGCCATTGACTTTTTTATCTCAACTAAAAACCTTAATTAATTATAATTTATAATTTCCACAAAGCAATAAGAATAATCCATGAATAAAGTGTTTAACAATAACATAAATAACTGAAATAAAACAATTCATATTAAAAAATTGTCATTACCAAGCTTTCCAAGCAGTTCCGTGTGATGTTCTTACATTATCAATTAACCAAGTAGCAACATGACACATTTCATGTGCCATGACATCCCGTAGTATGTGAGGTTTTGTGATAAACTGAAACGAGTTAATAACAAATCACTTTTACGATAAATATTGTTTATTGTTGTTAGTTTATTGGGTTCGTTCTAACAAGCCAGAAAATTTTGGTCTTTATCCTTTCATAAACTATCAACTACTTTCAAGGGAGAAAAGTATTTACCACTTTTGATAACTGAATAGCGGCAACCCGCTTAAATACTGTCTCGTTGTCGACTGTAGTTCTTATTATCCTTTGTTTTGTTATACCTGCTGCGCTTGTAAGTCGTCCACTCCATGTTATTTCACAATTGGTCAACTGTAATGTTTGCAAATTTTAATTAATCAACAGTACTGAAAACAAATATTTATAACAGTTTTGGAATTTCTAATTTGATAATAATTTAATATAAATAAATAAATTCAGTATAAATAAATTGTATTTATTCTAAAGTTCTGTAAGTTTAATAAAAGCTTTATGAATACTAAATTCTGTTCTAATAAACCATTATAGGTGGAGACACTATTTTCATATTTTTCTTTTTCCTTCTTAGTTTTCATTTTTAGCTATTTTTACTTTTATTTCTGCCTTTTCCAAATATATATAAACCTATTCTTACTTTGATTTTACAGGTTAATTAAAAATGTATTTTAAATTTTGGAAAAGGTAAAATCAAAATGAAAAAAGTCTAATACTAAATGGAAAAATCAAAATTAAAACAGAAAAATCTAATCACAGTAATTTTGATGAAATCGATGGTGCAGGCCTCATAGATAAATGAATTTGTAGAAATCTAATATCAAATGGTAAAGTCAATTTATTATTATTATTTTATTCAATTAATTGAAGTTTTAAGTTGAGATAAAAAGTCAGTGTCATGAGCGGGATTCGAACCCACGACCTTCGGCTTGATACGTCGCTTCTCTACCACTTGAGCTATCGTGACTTCGATAACCTTAATTAATTGAATGATATTAACTGGTCAAGTGGACTATTAGAAAAAAAAANGGGTCATTGCCGGCACCCCACATATAAAGCCTTCTCACATTTATCTTCTTAGCTATCTTATGTGTACATTCTTTTCTGAATCTTCTTATGCCTCAACTAAACGACTGTTGCCTTCCGATTCACCTAATAGGAGATTCATTATCTTGTTTGTTGTTACCCTCCCACATGTGATAAATTAAAATACATAGATATAATATTTATACACATTTTCATAATTCACATTCATACTAATTTACTAACCTACACTACAACTAAATTAGAGGTTGAAAGATTATCGTGATCTTGCAGCCTCCTTTCTTTCACATTAATAAATACATTCAAACGGTATTTACAAATTCCACTCATACACTAAACTATCATCCTAATCTAAATTGTTTGACAGGCCTTAGAGTACTCAATATTCCTCGACAGCCACATCATTTCACGCATCACCTCTCACGGTAAAAAATACATTCATTTTGGACAAGCCACTACACTTCGGAAGTATAGTACCAACAAAATGCCAATGACCCATCCCTATATATGTAGTTTAAATTCAAAATGCAATAAATAAAAATGATGGTGGCACAATTGGCAAAAAAAATGGCCTTTGATAGAATATTGAATGTTAATAAAGAATACTTATTACACACTACTACCTTTCAAATAAATTACAATTAATTAAGGTTTTTAGTTGTGATAAAAAAGTCAATGGCACCACGAAATTAGTGAATTAAATGATTTAAAATGAAGTACACTTCAATAAAGCTCTCCGTGGCCATTTCATTTGTTGCCGAGAATCCAATCCGATTACACGACATTTAAAAAATGGCAAAAAAGAGGGAAAATTCAAAAAGGTGGGGTTGAGATGGAAAGTTGGTTTCCGAGTGGATCGAGGTCACGATAGCTCAAGTGGTAGAGCAGCGGCGTATCTAGCCAAAGATCGTGGGTTCAAATCCCGCTCGTGCCATTGACTTTTTTATCTCAACTAAAAACCTTAATTAATTGTAATATAATAATTGGTCAAGTGGACCACGAAATTAGTGAATTAAATTTCAAATAAAGTTAAACAATATTCATTAAACTAGCAAGAATTTGTTTTTTTAAGTAATTATATATCTAAAGTATGTTCTCACCTTACCTTTTTTTTAAAAACATTCAAATTAAAATACTGGAACAAGAAAATAGCTAACTGTTGCATACTTTTCTTAAAATTAGTTACATAATATTCTGCTTTGGCATCCAAAGGTATTCCGTATGTGTTTTCTAAAAAAATAAGAATTATTATTACTAAAACCTATAAATATTACTTTTTGTACATCACAATAATCAATCAGGTCTAATTTGATTATCGAAATTTATAACCAATTTTTATTATATAACACCTGAACTCTTATTTCAAAAACTTCAACATTTTAAACACGGAAATCAACTATAATAATTCATGCCATAACTGTTTTCATAATTTACTCCTCTTTGTAAATTGTCTTGAATTAATTTTGTTTCTTTTTTTATAAGGTTTTCGGCCAATGGGAGACGTGACCAGAGGTCTAACCGTTATTACGTATAGTCAGTGTTTATTTTTTTATTTATAACCCATGTTTTACTTTACAATCCTAGGCCGAAATATGTTATGGCATTAACTTTTTGTGTTCTTTTTTCTGTTTCTTACAGGTGAGGCTTTTGATCTTGTGCCATTCCAAGATATTTCATTCCCCTTGCAAAGCCGTATTTTTATTTTTTTAAAAGAGGGCGCTGTTAGATTAAGCTTCCTAGATCCAATGACGTAATAGATGTATTTAATTTTGTATAAACTGTACACAAACCGCTAGTTAACATCTTTAAAATTTGTCAAGTTCGGTTTCTATAGAGAATATTTAATATTACCAACCTTCCAATGAGCTTAAAAATGAAAGCCGAAATTCGCCTATTTGTTTTCTGAAAGCAGAAAGATAAATATGTAAGTAATTGAAAAAATCTGAGTTACTCTCACTTTACTCTTTAACACTTTAAAACACTCGAGCATACTTAAAATCAACTTACTCCTTTTTAAGCAAACATAAAGATTGCGAATAATATGTATCCTTGTTTCTTTGTTTTATTTGGTTTTTTTGTTCATTTTGTTTACCATCATATTTATTGTCACTGTTATCCGAGTCAGAGCAACTGATAATAGGTCTGAATAAAAGAAAAAACATAAATCTATCGTACATTATCATATTAAGTACTAAAACTAATTAAAAGAAGATTTACACAAAAATATTTTTATAAAAATAAAAGTTTATAGTTTGCATATAATGATAATAAATAATATTCTTTGAGCAAAGCAAAAAAAGTACTCTTCTTTTGAGAAAATCTTTCATTGAGACAGTTTAAATTATAATTGTACGTTGTATGACATTTAAATTTTATTTTATTATCATTTACTTACCAACAGGATTTCTCAAGGGATGGTAAAATAATGGCGAAAATGTGAAAATCAAAATGGAAAAATTAATACCAAATGGAAAAATCCAAATTAACATGGAAAAATTTGAATAATAAATGGAACAGACAAGCCTAAAAGTGTAAAAGTCAACTTAAAATTGAAAAGTAAAAATTAAAATAGAAAACATCAAATATTAAATGGGAAAGTTGACATTCAAATGAAAAAATAATAATAATAATATTAAATGGAAAAGTAGAAATAAAAATGGTAAAATCAAATATTCAATGGAAGAGTCAAAATTAAAATGGAAAATCANAAGATCGTGCCCAATAACTGAAAAGTTGGATGATAAATGGAAAAGTCAAAATTAAAATGGAAAACATAATATTAAATGAAAATTAATCTTTGTTAGGTATTGGTTGAAATGAAAAAGTCAGTGTCACGAGGGGGATTCAAAAGTAGGTTGAGATGGGAAGTTGGTGTCCGAGTGGATCAAAATCACGATAGCTCAAGTGGTAGAGCAGCGGCGTATTTAGCTGAAGGTCGTGGGTTCGAAACCCGCTCGTGACACTGACTTTTTTATCTCAACCAAAACCTTAATTAAAGATTAATTAATTGAAAAGAATTTATTTGGTCAATCGGACCACGCATTAAATGAAAATATTTAAATTAAAATGGAAAAGTTGTATAATAAATGGATAAGTTGAATATTAAATTGGAAGCCAATAGGTTATATTTCAAGATAAAATCTGTTATACATCATATTAAGTACTAAAACTACTTAAGAAGAGATGTACACAAAATTCTTTTTATAAAAGTAAAGAAATAAATTATTATAGATCATATATAACAATAATTCCTTAAATTCACTAATTTCGTGGTCCGCTTGACCAATTAATATATTACAATTAATTAAGATTTTTAGTTGAGATAAAAAATAGAAAACTCAAAAAGGTGGGTTTGAGATAGGAAGTTGGTGTCCGAGTGGATCGAAGTCACGATAGCTCAAGTGGTAGAGCAGCGGCGTATCTAGCCAAAGATTGTGGGTTTGAATCCCGCTCGTGCCATTGACTTCTTTATCTCAACTAAAAACCTTAATTAATGGTAATATAACAATAATAAAAAATACTCTTAGAAAAGAGCAAAAAGTACTTTTTATTTGAAATTTATTTTTATTGAGTTTATAATAATTTTATTGTAGTATTATTTACTTACGGACGTGATTTCTCAGGTGATGATAAAACAATGACATTTTTTTCATCCAGAGGTATATTTTCCTTATCGCTTATTTTACCACTGGACCTGCAAGATTAAAAGAATAACAATGTGGTTCTATCGTTATGAAAAAAATTGTTTAAAAAATATTTGAAACAACTGAGATGATTTTCACATCAGGCAGTACAATTAAATCATAATGATTTATATTTTGAATGTTTATAATTGAAAATACAGTCAATGATCAAATCTTGTCTGTACTGACAATAAAGATCAATTATATTTATTTTCTAACATAAATTTTGTGTGTAAATATATAATAGAAATACACTCACCTTGTTTGTTTATTTGTTCTTTTTGACTTATCAATGGTGGTATTTTTTATTTGTTCATTACCTTCATCACTGTCACTGCTGTAAGATATATGGCTGTTCTGGAATCTAAAAAATAATATATAATTATATGTTGCCATCATATTTAAGCTGCTATCATTATTCAGACAACTCAAGCCAAATTTCATGGTTTTTTTTTTTCTTTTAAAATATTATTAAATAAAATGTGCAACACTTACTCTTTTTGTCTATCTGTAAAAGATTGTGCCCAATAACTGAATTTCTTCCGATCGGTAATTACTGTATCCACTTTTTCATTACCACCGATGCTCATTTCATGCAGTCTAAGCATTAAAAATAACAATAAATTCATTTGATTTGATGAAATAATGTTTACAAACTGTCATTTTACTTTTTTTATTAAATTAAACTGTTAAAACCAGTCCAGTCATTACGAGGTTGACATACTGTTATGGCCCAAAATTGCTGACCAAAATATGCCCGTTTCTCAGTGGAGAGGGAGTGAGGAAAAAATTTATAAAATAAATACCTGTTCAACATAAATGAAGAAATAAATAAAAATAAGATTGGGCGCCAGTATTTTTAACAAATAGAATGACAAAAAGAAAGAGGAATGAACTGAAAATATAAAAAAAATAAAACTGCAGCACAGGAGAAGAGAAGAAAACCTCGAAGAATTTTCATCAGAAAATTTCAAGGAAAATTAGAATATCCTCTTCACAGCTAATTAAATTAAATAAAACTAATGATTGTGTTTACACAAAATTGCCAAAAGAAGAAACAAATAAAATCCTGGTCCAAGTTGAACACACAAAACTTATTTTCTGGTGACTGCTGCTGTCCTTTCTCAATGCCAATCCAATGGCTTTTTCCGTCGCCCCGGAGGTGGTCATGGTAGAAACAGATCCCCTTCCTGGATCAAGATGCACACGAGTAGGAAAATCCGGTGAAACACCAATGCCTATTCCCTCGTCTTGTCTCCATTCATTGTTCTCTTATCGCCCCCCTCATCCGTTCCTTCCCCTCTCCACCAGCGTTGCACATGTCCACTTTTTTCGCCTATTTTCTCTTTTCTTTTATTTTTAAGTTAACATTTTCTTGTACAAAACCAACCCTTTTTATAAATAATTAACTTTGGTTTACCTGGCTATTATCTTTTTCCCAGCTCTGTTCTCCTCTTTATAGGGCAAGCACAATATTTTCCAATGTTTGGGGGAAGGGGGACAGACTTAACCATTTATTTTTGGCCAAAGCCAGCATATTAGTCCGGCATGCTGAGAAAGGTTGTTTGATGATGCCACTTGATTTCTTTAAACAAACTGTATATACGATATAATTGAGGAATGAAAATTCATGTTAATAAATACGCTCTCAATATAAAAAAATGAGATGCAGTAAAACCTCTATTATGCGAGGTTCGATTATCCGGGAATCCAATTATCAGGGCCCCGGATCTCCGAATACGTATACTATGTATACAGATATACATTTTGCTTAGAAACAAGCCACTTCTGATTCTAAGAACACCGCCTTCTCTCTTGTTCCTATGAAACTCCCACTGGTATATTTATATTGAACATATTCGGTATGGACGTGTAGGGTGTTGTGGGTATTTTTGGAATTGAATCGGTGTCACTGGCCTTTAGTGTCACTTTGTCAATATTACTGTAAAGACGGTTTTTTGATTTGACCTATTGAAAAAATTTTACAATTAAAACAAAAATTAATCAAAATGTTTGTGCTATATACATATTAATAAAAGTAATATATGTACACGCGTCTTCTTAATTCAACTTTAAATTAACACATTAAAAAAATAAATTCCATTACCCGGGGTTTTCGCTTGGGCCCCCCTACCAAACATTATCCCTTGTTAATTTCATAGCCTAGTCTTCATCGGATGAGGATAACCCTTCTTCTTCGAGTCAGATCCTACGAGGGCCACCTATCAACATTGCCCTTAAAAGCTTCTCATCGACACTGCCATTTATTTTAATAATGTTTTTTACTGCATTTTTTTAGGGTCGTCACGGTGGTTAAGTCCAGAGATTGGGACATCCCAGCCTTGTTCGCCTTTTCGGTATGTAAATAAGAAATAATATATTTGAAAATTGTTTAAATTAAAATTGTATGCCTAAAGGGCTGAAATGACCTCGTTGATAGCCTCTGGAGTCAAACTACAGCAGTAATCTGACCCCGGACTGCCAAAACTCTAAGCAGGTGATTCTTACAGCTTGCGTATTATTGCATTATTTATACTTACTTGTCCAATACCTCCTCAGAACTTGATGAAGAAATGGCGTTCTTAATTCTCCGTCGTTGAATCGGTTTAATCTCATCATCGCTATAGTCACTATCATCGCTTCTGCACGAGACGATGACACTGTCCAACCTAACAAAAATACTTTGTTATAAAGTATTTAATAATTTTATTTATTACTGTCGTAGCTGAAATGCAGCGTCAGTGCTAGGTTATGCAGGGATTCATACCCAGAAACGCGAGACAAATACGAGTCGGATGCTTTAACCACTTGGCGGCTTAAATGTTAAACCACACGCATTCAACAATTTTTACATACAAAACCCAGAGATTAACAATTATAGAGTTTATAAATATTTTTATAGTGAACCGGCTTTATGTCACTTATTGGGTTTGTTTCTGCCCGGTGATGTTTCGGCTTTACGCAGTGAAGTTCCTCACTGAAGACAATGCAATGCCAAAATACATTCGAGTAGTTCAACAAACTCGCGGGCGAAGGCAAACCCAATGCCGGTCCTGCACGAGTCCACCGACCAACACCCAGCATCAACTTTATAAATATTTTATTAGCGATTAAAGAGATTAAAAATGACTACAATTCTGTCTGGGCAATTGATTAATGACTTTTGATATTCGAATTGGCCCTGTTCAAAATAAATCTGACTAATGAATCAATTTACTGAAATTGATGAGTGTACACAAATTATAGGCAAAAGTTACTAACTCTGGTCAAGACCTACCATCAAACTGATGCTCAGAAATAATAAAACATAATAAATATGTATAACATCCTAAGGCATAAAGAAATAAACAGTAAAACAGACAGAAATATTATTTATTACAGACATACCTTTTCATGGTGTAAGTATTAAAAAAAGAGCGAGATGAACGTCGATACTGCCTGGGTGATTTAAAACTAAAAGAACTATAAAATAATAAACAAAGGAACTGCAAACGTATAAAATAACGTTATGTGACAATGAACAGTAAATGAAACAAAAGCTCCTGATAAGTCCAATTTCCCGCCAAGTATTATCAGTTATCACTCCAGCCTTATTCGATATAACCGACAATCGAACTACCATCGCTCCATTTTAATTGTTTCTGTTCTCGTTCCATCAAAAAACACGTTAGCTAAATTTTCCACGGATTAAAATTCTTCCATTTCTGTAAAACTAAGAGGAATTTATTCTTAACTCTTCCAAAGTTTCTCAAGGTAATATAATGATTGTACCTTGAGTCATTTTCAGTTGATAACTTGATATCTCGAGGTGCTAAATGATCCAATTTTATTGTTTCTGCTCTCCATCCATCAAGAAACATGTTAGCTACATTGTGCATGGATCCATAGATTAAAATTGTTATTCTGGAATTTCTGTAAAAATAACAGTAATTGTTCGTAACTCTTCCAAAGTTTCTCAATGTAGATACAATACTTGTACCTTGAATCATTTTTCAGTTGATAACTTGATATCTCGAGGTGCTAAATGATCCAATTTTATTGTTTCTGTTCTCCTTCCATCAAGAAACATGGTAGCTACATTATCGATGGATTAAAATGGTTAATAGAAATGATAAATGATGGAGTGAGTGTGGTGTTCAATACTTTTTAAAAGGATAGTTCCTACACACATACTGTGATATACTACTATATAGATACTACTTACTGTGAGTAGGAACTATCCTTTTAAAAAGTATTAAAATGGTTATTCTGGCATTTTTTTGTAACAATAACAGGAATTTTTCTTAACCCTTCCAAAGTTTCTCAAGGTACATACAATGCTTGTACCTTGAGTCACTTTTTGGATCATTTCCCGAGGTGCTAAACATTTTAATTGTTTTCACTCTTCTTCCATCAAGAAACATGTTAGCAACATTTCCATGGATTAAAATTGTATTCTGTCTTTTCTGTCAAAATAGCAGCAATTTTTGATAGCCCTTCCAAAGTTTCTCAGGGTACATACAATGTTTGTATCTCGAGTCATTTTTCAGTTGATCTCCCTTCATCCTACCACCCTATCAGTCTCTTTTCTGTAATGAGCCTCTAAACAAACTTTTTATTTCTGACAAACTTAAAAGTGGCGTGTTAGTTGAAATAAATTTGTAAAAAAAAATATAATTTGTACTAGGTAGATAAAATTTTTGGGACGAATAAATACAAGTACCAACATGTCCAGGAAACTTCTTTGCAATTTTCTTGATTCAGGATTTCTACTGTCATTTCATTCTAGTCTTCATACCAAGGCAAGATCCCACATAAGTGACACGATTGAGAGTTTATTTTTTTAATATGCATCTCCCTACTTTCTTCAATTATGAGGTGTGTAAGATATGAGGAGTATTATGGTACCTGAACCAGTAGGGGCTACAAAGACTTGAAAAGGTTGAGAATACAGTTTTAAACCATTGACAATGCTTTTTGTTCGGTTTGGATAGAAATGGCTTCATCTTACCTGTCAGTAGTGCATATATGTATACATTTTCCACCTTTTTGTTAATAAGCATATTTTGAAAACAGTAAAGTTTAGGGTTTAAAGTTAAAAGGAGCCCTCTTTACAACTTGCGCACTGGACTAATATTGGTCTATGGTGCAATATCCAGTTGTCTTCGCTCTCCATTAAGCTTAAAAAATTTTGTCCCCTCACAGAAGCAGAAATATCCTGCAATATGTTCTGCTGTTTCTTCCTCTTCCTGGACAGATCTGTACAAGATGGAAATATTTATGGCAGGAGTTGGGAAAAAATTAAGCTTAACTTTAAATAACAATGACTGTATTAATTACAATACAAATTACAATAAAAAATATCACAATTTTTCATATTAAGCATTCATCAAATAACATAACCATTAAAGATGTAAAATTACGAACAATACGTAATATTGAAAATAATATTTCTCTATTATGTTATGAGATCATTCACAATCAAAATTGTTATCACATACATTTCCAATTTGGCTTTGTTACAATAATTGAAATACATAACAAATTACAATTTTTCTACAAGAGATACTTTCTTCCAATTTCATACTCAAAGATTACTCTAGAGTTTATTTGGCAATTTTTTTTACAATGTAATTGTAGTTTTATTTATTCTTTTAATATAATACCATCTGACAACTCTTCAGTAATTTGATGTGTAATAGGTGTACACTAAATACTAGTTTTCTTATGTTAATTTAATTATTTTAGTGAAAATTTTAATATTAAATTATATTTGGGGCAGAATTATTAAATATTACTTAATAGTTTTACCATTGCTTTAATTATATCAACAAATCATTTAAAAATATAAATAATTCTTTCTAGAAAATCGTATTTATTTACATATTGCACAGTGACATTATTTATTGATTTCGAGTTTTCTTCAAAAGTAACTTACACTTTTTATAAATAGCATAAATAAGCCATGGAAGTTGAAATGCCAAGATAATGCAAAGGCCAATTGATCTATCGTACAGATACCAAATTTGAGAAATTATTATTGTAAAAACAATAGACGCATATACAATATTTGCTGAGAGGAGTCCGTCCAAGATTAGAAAATTGTAGACAGTTTTGTATCTTGATGCTGAAACAGGTAAAAAAATTTAAATCCCTTCTTTTAAAAATTAAGTACAATAATATTTTATATGTGGAGAAACTAATTCCCAATTCTGTTTGTTGTTTAAAAAAATTCTCCTTGAATACTACCCAAAAAATGGTGCAAATCAGAACAAACCCGAAAAGGCCACAGAAATATCAATAAAAATAACTAGATATCCCAACAATTAATTACTAGCTTGTTCATTTCACTAACCCACCACTGACGATGGTGAAAAGTTGTAACATTTTTTGACAGGCCAAAATGATCAGGAACAACCAAACTATAGCGCATGGTTTAAAAAAAATCATTTTTCATCCAGTTATCTCAAAATTATTTGAAAAAGTTATGCTAAAAAGAATGAAACCCTTAATTGAAAAAGATAACACACTAACCCACCAGTTTGCATTCAGAGCCAAGCATTCAACCATAAATCAGATACATAGAATCACTGATATCATAGAGAAAGCTCTGGAAGATATATGTTCAGCTTTATTCCTGGTTTAATACTTAAGCTTAAAAAAATATTCCTAAAATAACATGTTGAACTTTTGACCTCTTATCTTTTGGAAAGACTGTTCTACATTAGATGGCAAGATTTGTTTAAAATCAAGGTTGACCGCAAGGTAGCATCTTAAGCCCCATACTATACTTGTATACAAATAACCTACCACTGAAGGAAAACATAATCATTGCAACATTTACTGATGACACAGCTCTGTCGAAAAATGTTTCTATGCATCTATGAACAGATGGAATTGCAGTTAACAGCATGACTAGACATATACTTGGAAGGTTAATTTCACAAATAGAAAATTAGTAGACAGACCAATAAGCTTCAATCGTAAAGTAGTTCAGTTAAATATTTAGGCATGACAATGGATAAAAAAATTAAAATGGAAAGAACAAAGCAAAAAGAAAAGGGAAGAACATGACTTCAAATATCAAAACTTTACTGGTTGCTGGGAAGGTATTTCCGACCATAAACATAAAATAAAATCATGATCTATAATCACATATTAAAACCTATATGGATGTACAGTATAAAACTTTTGGGCTGAAAAATCAATCATCAATCAAAAAAACATTATGCATTGGATCCAAATTAAATCCTGCAAAATATGGTTAGATACTCCTTGGTATGTTCGAAATTAGTGACATACATACATGAACATCCCACATCTGAACACTGAGTTCACACAATGTGTTTACAAGTACTATTGCGGACTGCAGTGGCTGAGTGGTTTAAATTTTTAAAATTTCATCAAAAACTAATTTGCGACAGGCAGCCTGTTTAACCGTTTTGTGAGGCAAATGTCAGCCGACTAGATTCACCTGCATAAGCAACTTAATAAATTGCCGACAAAGCATCTAAAAGTTGGTCTTAGAGGTTATTTTATTATCTTATCTGTGGTATAGACAAAAGTAACGTAATAATTTTGTCTTTTAGAATATTGTTCTCATTTGCACTTTTTTAAATTAAATTTGTCCCAGCAAAAATAGATACTGTACCTGTGTATCTTGTAAATACAGCAAAGAAGGGAGAGGAAATGTATAAAAAGAGCCAGCCTAGCGATCTATAAAATCTAACCGACCACACATTTCTGTTGTGTTCGTCTTTAATCATAGCATCTGGCAACACCTTTCCCTTCGAAAGCAAAATAATGCCATCCTGCCCCAACATTTTTCCGCTCTGCCTTGCAATTATACTAACCTAAAAAATATATATTTTTTAAATTTATTTTTCATACAACACAACAATTAAATACTAAAAACCTTGAAGCATATTAGCCCATTTAATATAATAGTAATTCTAAATTAGTCATAAAATAAATAAGTTAAAAACACTTGGGCCTTAATTGTACAATTTATTGTTAATTGAAAATGAAATAGTAATAATAAATTCAATTAATTAAGGTTTTTAATTGAGATAAAAAAGTCAGTGTCACGAGCGGGATTCGAACCCACGACCTTCAGCTAGATATGCCACTACTCTACCACTTGAGCTATCGTGACTTCGATCCACTCGGACACCAACTTCCCATCTCAACCACACCTTTTCAATTTTCCCTCCTTTTTTGCCATTTTAACTTTAAAACTAACTAATTTCACTAGTTTTCGTGGTCCACTTGACCAATTAATATTTTTCAATTAATTAAGGTTTTTAGCTGAGATAAATGAAAAATGGCAAAAAAGGAGGTAAAATTCAAAAGGTGTGGTTGAGATGGGAAGTTAGTGCCCGTGTGGATCGAAGTCACGATAGTTCAAGTGGTAGAGTAGCGGTGTATCAAGCCGAAGATCGTGGGTTCGATTCCCGCTCGTGCCATTGACTTTTTTTATCTCAACTAAAAACCTTAATTAATTGTAATGTATTAATTAGTTAAGCGGACCCCGAAATTAGTGAATTCAACTATTAATCTTTACACCTAGTCATTACGGAAAATAAACATATAAATACAAGTGTCTTTTTTTTCTTTGTGCGTATTTTAAAGGAAATTTTTATAAGTATTAAACATAGTAGTTGTTATAGAGGAAATTTAATAGATGTGTGAAGTGTGAAATTACCATATCGCCAGACATGCCAGCGAAGGAAAACTGCACCCTGATATTACCCACTTCAGGATTCCAAACGTCAGATGTATGATAGTAGAGTCCAGCATGAAGTTTAATATCTCTGTTTTCTGGTCTTTCGTCGCTTGTTATTAACATGAAGTCGGCGAATTTCTTCTTTATATTGACACTGAATACATAAGTACCGATTCTCACGACTTCACTTATGTACAGTTTACTTGTCAATGGAAATTTGCTAGGAAACGAGTGCCATGAAAATCAAGTGAAAAATCAGTGAGAGATGTATATATCAGAAAAAGGAACTGATTTATTACCTGGGGTTCTGGTGTCCAACTGGCATGTGAAAGTTGCTGCTATCGATTAGCTTGTCCCGCCAGTCAGTCTGATAGGTGTATTTTCTGTAAGACAGATAAACATTTATATATAAAACTCTGTAAACAATTGTAAGCTTAAAGAATCTACCGAAAAAATAGTACAAAATTAACATACTTTGGCGACTCTTCATACTCAATCCATTGGAACATTTGAACTCTGCGTTTTAAGCATACAGCAGGAACAGATATGCCGTAATCTGGTTCTGTAAGTGGTTCATCGACGTGCAATTCCCCAGCTAAATAAACCAAAGACCCTTCATTGATTGATTCGACTTTATTTATGTCAGTTACTACCCTCAAATTTTGAAATAATGTCGACAGAGATTTTGTGTTTTGGATCGCTTCTTGCTGAAACACAAAAAGAAAAGTTGTTTAAATTGGCGTTTAATTAAATTGTATAAAAATAATCAATGTTAAATAAGTCAAGAATAGAAAAATTATCTATTCAATATATATAAACGGTATATCTATAAAAATCTCTATACTAATGTTGATTTAAATCGTTAGATTTTCTTCTATGGTCTATGAGGTGATGAGCCTGAGTGATTCTATTAAGATAAAAGAGACCTGATTTAACATAATTACATAGATGCTAGAATGCGTCTGACAGGCCAGTCCAGTGAGGGTAAGCAGACAATGATTATTGGTAAAAATCAAATAAGAATTACAATTAATTAAGGTTTTTAGTCGAGATGAAAAAAGACAATGGCACGAGCGGGATTCGAACCCACGATCTTCGGCTTGATACGCCGCTGCTCTACCACTTGAGCTATCGTGACCTCGATCCACTCGGACATCAACTTCCTATCTCAACCTCACCTTATGAGTTTCCCTCCTTTTTTTCATCTCGACTAAAAACCTTAATTAATTGTAATGAGTTAATTGGTCAAGCAGACCACGAAATTAGGGAATTTAAAGAAATCAAATAAGAATATTGATTTAGTTATTAAAAAAAAGTTCTCTTGTATAATAAAAATAAAATTTAAATTTAAAAAAAAAATTAAAAATACATTAGCAAGATGTGTTTTCTACTTCACCCGATGAACTTCAGAATGATCAATTTGTGTATGTGTGTGATTGAGAGAGAGAGAAAAAGGATAATAGTAAAAGAGAGGAGAGAAGAAGAGGGAGAGAGAGAGCTGGAGAAAGAAATGGAGTAGGAAAGAAAGAGCAGGTGGAGAAAGAGAGAGAGTGAGAGAGGGAGGGTGAGGGGGATGGAGCGGGAGAGGGAGAGAGAGGGTGAGGGAGTGAGAGAGAGAGGGTGAGGGAGTGAGAGAGAGAGGGAGTGAGAGAGAGAGCAGAGAAAGGGAGGGAGAGAGAGAGAGGGAGGGAGAGAGAGAGAGGGAAAGTTATAAAAAATTCTATATATTCAAATATAGTGTGTTTAGAAGTGTCGATTGGTAACTCCCTTTTTAGAGAACTGAAAAAACTGTCTACAACAGAATTGTTGTAACAACAATTTTTATGATTCATGCTAGGTAAGAGGGAGCGTTTGAATCTTAATTATAATATTTTGAATTTGAATAAACTATGATGGTCATTTCTGACCATTTTGATAACCTCATTCTCACTGATTTTCACTGCTGTCATACGACCAGTGCATACGGCAAAATTTTGTCTAATAGACCAAACTGATGACTATTTAGTATAGGCAGACCAAAATGTCCGAAAGAACCAAACCACAGATTCATATCCCCTACAGACCCCACGAAGAAATTTCACAATGTCATATGTAAAGTATTATGAATTATGAGAACATTCAATTTTGGCACTCTCAACAATGATCAGGCTTCTTCATCAATCAGATTGCTAGATTATCAAGTTTTTATTGAACGAATTACCTCATTATTTGTGATAATGACAAAAGCTAATATCAATAAACATGCGCCAATAAGTACTCGTCCCCACTCTGATTTTAGTTCCAGCCATAAAGCGATTTCTTTTTGTTTCTGAAAAGAAAAGAATCTTTATTATTCCTTTTATATATTTAAATATAATTTATAAGAAAAATGGAGTAATGGCCAATATGGCGCTTGTTAATAAGGAATGTATACATTGAGATTTTCTTAGTTGAAGGAAACAGATTGGAAAAGTATACGTACATTACTCTTTGCCACAACCATTCTGTATTCTGTAACAGAAATACTATTTAAGTTATACACCACATACAGATATAAAATTAGTTTAACTCAAAAGTTGTTAAATAATAACACACACAAACAAACGCCATCTGAAATGTAGGCCTAACAACTGCACAAAGATTATCGTTTATCAATAATAAGAAGAAGAGACTGAATTACAAGAAATCAATTATTTTTAATTAGTAATCCCACATTGTATGCATCGATTGGTCACAAGAACACAGCAGGTCTCCATTAATTATGGGGCATGGATAGGGATAAATGAGGTTGCTACAAGAACACCTTGACCTAAGTAGATCTGTTGTATTCCTCTATTTTTTTGTTGTCCTCAGGTTTTTAGTCAACCTCCATAGCCTTGCCAGCGGCTCTTAGTTAGGATCTTAATCTACTATAGAGCCAATATAATAATAATAATAATAATACTATATTTCAGGCAGAGAATGTGGTTGTGCCCAATATATATTACACAGGGCGGGCGACCAGGACCCGAGGGGTTAAAAGCCTGAGTAGGCCCGTACCCCATCCCTAAAAGGTCCGGGACCTGGTCGGCTCACGAGTCCTGCATAAACCTATTGGACCCATTCACAAACCCCAGGATTGTGGTCCATTTTATCCTGGGGAGTGTTTTGGTTATGTCCTCTCCTTCGAAAGTATTAAATCTTTCCCTAGCATACCTATCGCATTCTGCGAGGTAGTGTCGAGCCGTTTCTTCTTTTGTTTCGCAGAAGCGGCAGAAGGGGTCTGGTAGAGTACCCATTATGAAGAGGTGTCTTCTCAAGGGGCAATGGCCCGTTAGGATACCTATCAGCCTCCTTATTCCCCTCCTAGAGTTAGAGAGTAGCCATTTCGTTTCTTTAGGTTTGATTTCCTTCAGAAACTCCTTCGATTGCCTGCATCCGGGGGACATATTCCATTCCTTAAGGAATTGTTTCATGCCCCAGCTACCTATACTCTCTTTTGCTGTGCTTAAAGAATGGGGTAATACCGGTTGTGGTCTGACGAACTCAGTATTTGATCCTTCCTTGGCCAGGCTGTCCGCCTCCTCATTGCCATAGTGCCCCTTATGAGCAGGTATCCATATGAGGGTTACCCTATTCTCATACCTGGTGATAGTCCTATTAATGAGTTCAACGGTTTCCTCTACCAGTCTAGATGTTGATAGTTCTTTTTGTAATGATTTTAGACTGGCCTGACTGTCGGAAAAAATTTTAATATCTTTTCCCTTAATCTTGTTATCCATCAGTGTTCTACAGCAAACATTAATGGCCCAGACCTCTGCCTGAAAGACCGAGGTGTTATTACCAAGATGATAGGAGATGCTGATCCCTAATTTAGGTATGTGTATTCCAGCACCACTTCCCTTATCCTTAATGAGTGAGCCATCGGTGAAGCAATCTAGACTACGATGGTCATCATCAGACCTATAGTTATAGTCACAGGGAGTAACTACCTGAAAGTACTTTTTCCCTAAAGGTGTTTTCACCTTTTTATCGCTTACACCCAGTAGTTGGTTGTTGACCTTACTCAATAAATGTAAAATTTTCGAGTGTCCTATATTATTTCCCTTATGGTTCCAGCTGGTATAGCTAGGTATAATCTATAGCAGCTGGTTAGTGCTTTAACCTTGACTTTTTTGTTGTCCTCAGGTTTTTAGTCAACCTCCATAGCCTTGCCAGCGGGTCTTAGTTAGGATCTTAATCTACTATAGAGCCAATATAATAATAATAATAATAATACTATATTTCAGGCAGAGAATGTGGTTGTGCCAAGGAGTTCAAAAGGCTGATAAAACCAAAAAAAGTTTAGCCATCTGCTTGGCAGCCAGGAGGCACTAAAGGAAACCTCATCGATAATAAAGTCCAGAGACATTTGAGATTGCATCAAGGCCCTTACCCTTAGGCAAGTTACCTTTGTAGTGTCAGGACTAACAGGGCAGAGGGTCATGAGGAGTAACTGTTTGCACCATAATAAATTGCCAAAAAAGTAGATCAGTCTATGGGTTAATGGTGGTAGATGGTCTATGGGATTATAAGTGCTCATAATTGGATTGTACCCAGGACAGAGGCATGCAAAAGGTCATCAGGGCCATCACAGAATTACTAAACCTTGAACCTATTAGGACCAAAATGGTAGTATGACTGAAATACAAGATGCTAGATGCGTGGGAAGGGAGGTCTTGATTAAAACGTTTAGCCCTAAACGTGTGATTGGACTGTGGCGCATTAGAGAAAACAACTGTACTTAACATTCTAAGCACTTTAAGCACTTATAAACTTAGAATTTTAATATACATATTTAAAATTACATCAAATAAATGTCCTTAATATCAACATTTTTCCCACATTGCTTATCCAAATTCCTTATCCGAACGCACCAATCATAGGAACTCCTCTAAAACTTTAGCCTTATCGTTATTTAGAAATCGTGAGATGTGGTCTGGCATGATGTTATAAATCCCAGGACCTGAAGATGATCTCAATAAAGACCGAAACGTTGTCACGATAAAGAAAATGTTTTTCTAAACCCACATTACACCAGACCACATCTCACGATCTCTAAATAATCATCAACTAACAGTCTCTAAACACCACACGTTTAGCCTTATCCTTCAGATTTGCAGGAAAATTTTGTAAGGTGGACAACAGGGATAGAAATGAGAATATGATTGATCAACCTTGACTTTAAAACTCCCGTCAGAGAAGTATGACTTTAAGAAATTTAGGAACACAACATGGACCACCTCGCCAGTTTATAAACTAAGAGTCTGTGAGACACGGGATCAAACACCCTGGAGAAATCAAGATGATATTAGTTGGAATGTTTGAATCCATGTTTTTGTCCAGAGTTTAATTAATTAAATAATCAAATATTTTCTGTCATGGAATAAATAATATTACTATAAATATAAGCAGTATACAACAAAAAATATCTAGATTTTTAGGTGTTGCGGTTTCTTTTGGGTGTTTAAGAACCATGTCAATTTTGCACTGGTCAATTCTGAGCAATGGTCCAATGTGGGGAGATATTGTAAAAAATTGGATGTCCTAAAGGGTGCTTAAATTAAATTTAATAGCGACATAACAATAAATTGTAAAAACCAATGAAATAATGAGTAATCCGCTCAGATCTTTTCAGAATCGATTAAATTATTTTTTATTTGTCAACCCGGAAGAGAGAAATGAAACGGACTTTTTAATTTGTCCCGAGGAGGGAGAGTGTCAGGGCCAAGGCCAAACTTACGAGAATGGATCGAAGTGGAGCGAGGCGAGTGGGGGCGAGGATTGATTCGAGGATTTCCTGGCGAAGAAATTCCAGGGAAGTTCCAGCGTCCGCTCAGATCGATTACCGCCGTGTTTGTGAGTCTTGTGAGTTGTGAGTCGGCTCACGGCTCACGATACAACTAACGAGAAATTTACGATCATCTGCCTCCGTCTCTTTCGATCGCTCTTGCTGCGCTGAGGGGATTTCACATGTCCCAGAGGCGGCGCATGTCTGGAGGCGGGACTGGTCGAGCCGTTCCACCTTCGAATGCAATCCTACAATCTTGAAATAAACTTTTGTTTTTCATCTTCACACTCCATAGCAATGAGGATAATAACTATAACATTTAACCATTTTTAATCAGGGGTAGTGTGAATGTAATTTATTAGCGTGAATGGACGGATTTTTTCCAATTACTCCGAGGAATATCGAGTACCCTAAAGCAGTGAGAATGTCATTTATTAGCGTGAATGGACGGATTTTTTCCAATTACTCCGAGGAATATCGAGTACCCTAAAGCAGTGAGAATGTCATTTATTAGCGTGAATGGACGGATTTTTTCCAATTACTCCGAGGAATATCGAGTACCCTAGGTAGTATGAATTTAATTTATTAGAGCAAATGGACGGATTTTTGTCCAATTACCCCTAGGAACATCAAGAACCCTGGGTAGTGTGAATGTCATTTATTAGAGTGAATGGACGGAGTTTTGTCCAATTACCCCTAGGAATATCGAGAACCCTGGGTAGTGTGAATGTCATTTATTAGCGTGAATGGACGGATTTTTGTCCAATTACCCCTAGGAACATCAAGAACCCTGGATAGTGTGAATTTAATTTATTACCATGCATGGATGGAGTTCTTGTCCAATTACCCCTAGGAATATCGAGAACCCTGGGTAGTGTGAATGTCATTTATTAGCGTGAATGGACGGAGTTTTGTCCAATTACCCCTAGGAATATCGAGAACCCTGGGTAGTGTGAATGTCATTTATTAGCGTGAATGGACGGAGTTTTGTCCAATTATCCCTAGGAATATCGAGCATTTTGGGGCAGTATGAATATAATTTAGTAAGATTATTCAGAACCAGTCCGCATCTCATGATTTCTGAATAATCATCCACAAACGGTGACTAATCACCACACATAATTTAGTATCGTGAATGGACGGATTTTTTGCCCTATTACTCCGAGGAATATCGAGTATCATGGATAGTGTGAATGGCAACTAAACTATCGTTTTTTATCTTGTTTTTGTGTGTTTGTTATTTGTGTTATTTTATCTACACTTGACGAGGCCCTGAGGTACAGAAAGGCTAGCAATAGTATAAAGAAAAGAAAGAGTTGGTTGAGATGCAAAGAAATAGGAAAAGAAATTATTAGGATTACAATGCGAGAAAGACAGGAAAAGAAAAGCAAAGACAAAGAAAGTGAGGGCTAGTGATGAGAAGAAATGTAGTTTGACACCCCTTAAGAATAAAAAAAAAGAAGCAAAGAAACAAACGCTGAAAAGGGATGGGATTCCCCAATAGAGTGAGAAAATGCAGTAGTTTGTTGATTTACAGATCAGTCACCCCCTGGAGAGCCAAAGATAAAACATAAAAAACAATTCATTAAACTTTTAAGCATATCATTGATCTCCCCAATACACATCCATAATCAAAGTGGAAGAAACAGGAGTACTGAATTTGACAAGGTGGCCAGCACAATGGAACTGCTAGCAAGAAAACAGCAGCTGAAAATTTGGGATATTATGCTTCCCATGCAGTGGGACAGAAGGAAATAGGGTGATTGATACTTCAATCGCTAAAATTTGGTATTACACAGAAAAGTATCTTTAGCCATCTACTTAGACGGCCCGGCATTAAAGGCAACCTCATTGATTGTAAAGTCCAGAGGTATTTGGGATTGCATCAAGCCCCCCCCCACACAACAACAAAATTGTTCTTGTTTAGGTACCATATATAATGCATAGGAGGCCAATAAATAAAGGAAAGTTTGATGAGGACACACCATTAAACATATATGGTTTAAATTTAACCTTAATTGTAAATGGAGGAGGAGTAGGAAGTAAGGAATGGAAGTGAGAATCGGATCCAAACACAATAATCTGGGACTTTGCTACGTTCATATTAAGCCCATTTTCATCTGCCAAGGAGCTAGTTGAGTTTAAGTACTTTTGAATTCTTACAACTGCAATTTGTAAACAGGAATCAACTTAAAATAGAGTGAAGGGGTCATTTAACCAATGACTGAACTATAAATGTGTTAATTTCCTCCATGAAAAAATGAGACCTGTCATTGGAAAGAGGCAATTCAGGAATAAATAATGTATTAGACTAGGTTTTGAATATTTTTATTTTTATAACAAATTTTATATAAAAATGTATTATAAAAAATTACTCATAAACGATATCACAAATTTTTATGTATTTCCACTTCTTTTCATATAAATAATTGAATGTGTTTATATGAACATGTTTATAATAATAAAAAATAATTAAGACATTTATATTTGTTGAATAAGTTTATCATAGCTGTTTTCATCAAATTAACTTTTTACCTTCAAATGAGCCCTTTTTAATTTTAAATTAAACCGTATAATCCAAAAGGATTGAAGTCACGATAACTCAAGTGGTAGAGCAGCGGTGTATTTAGCCAAAGGTCGTGGGTTCAAATCCCACTCGTGACACTGACTTTTTTATCTCAACCAAAAACAACCTTGATTAATTGAAAATAATTTAAATTAAACCTTTCTTTTGTCTACTTCCAAGACATTCATCAGTTGACTCTGCATTGGGCTGCTCCTGGACAGTCGATTTTTCTACCCGTCTTGGCCTTTGACAGTCGAGGAGTGTCTCAACCGGATGTCTTCACTCATCTGGCTGACTGAGTGTCCTGTCAGACAGCTCCTTTTGCTTTTCCAATCATTCTTTTTTTGATTTGTTTCCCAACAAGAATGGACGGAAGGAAAAGCAATACCTTTGGGCCTGATGGTCAACCATTTCTTGCAAGAGTTGTACCTGACCTCTGTCTGCACAACAGCCGTAATTCTATGCAGCCCCCACCCATCCCTTTGTCGATGCCCATCCAGTATAGGATGTACAAAGCACATTTGACTGACTTCATCCCAAATTTATGGTGGCCATCGCTTGATGAGTCATGTTCACGACATGCGACAACTTTCCCTCAATAAATGGCTTTTTGTCTTTGCTATTTATTGGGGGTATTTGCTTGTTACATTTCTACACTCTACAGGTTTTTGGAAAATGTTCTTCAATTTTTTATATTAAAAAAAGTTTTCCAATAAAAACGAATTTTACTTTGCATGCTTATATTTCATACCATCTAACGTTTTTAATAATTTGAAGAAAGGGTTAATTTGAAATTAAAAAGGGTTCATTTCAAAATAAAAAGGTGTACTTTCAAATTTTAAAAAAATAGTAATTTGATAGGGAAAAAAGGGTTAATTGATGAAAAAAATTAAATATACTAATATATATGAATACTGTAACAATTTCACATTTTAATTTTATTCACTATTAAATCAAATCAGTTTCATGATTATTTAAGATAAAAATAAAATTACATACACATACGCCTCATATGTGATTCATCACATGCACTCAAAACCAGTCATATCACAGCCCCAGCTTTCATTATGTACTGTTGATCTCTGATCCACAGTTTCTCACAAATAGAATTAAGTAAAGGTGCCATTTTATTCACCTCGTTGTTTGTAGTATTTGAAAGCGATGGCATCGATAAAATTTTGATTTTGGAATTTGTTTCAAAATCCCAAATGTTACATTGAGGCACTTCAATTTTTGGAGAAATTCTGAAAAAAATTACAGCATATATTGTATAATTTTTTTACAACAGCCCTTGAGCGCTACAAGAAACTTTGCTGTCTTCATGAATTTTTTCATCACTAGGAAAGAAAGAAGGCATTGGTTTTTTTAGTTTTCAAAGATTGTCAGGAAAGGTTCGGGATGAAAGGTGTTAGCACAAGAATCCAGGGTTTTATGAACGCAGGGACTTCTTCTTGTGGTTGCAAGCATAAATGGGATTTGTACATCTGCGTGGATAATAAATTTGGATGCAAAGTAGGAAAGTTGGACAAATGAAGGATTTTGTACTGGAGTGACTGGATACTATGGAAGTTGGAACATTTGGTTTAACTCCACATATCTAGACTGAGTTTCAACAGTGTGGGGTGCTCCAATCAAAGAGGAACGGTGTTGATGGATACTGGCGAGTCGGAGTTTTTGTTCCCCAAGCACTGCAATTCTCTGGTTTATTGTATTTTCCTAATTTTTTAGTTCAGTGCAATCAACTCAATCCTTCTCCTAAGGAGTCCTAGGTCATTGACTGTCATTGTTACAATTTCTTTCCCTGGGTTTTCTTTTACCCAAGGTTATGTCCCATTGAGTGGTTGCTTCGCATTCGAAGTTGATAAGGGGGTTATTTCTTCCTCCTCAGTGCATAACCTACAAGTGGGGGGTCATCACTGAATATTCCCACATTGTGTAATGTTTTCTTAGATGTCAGTGACCCATAGTCCTATTGCTCCTCTGATAGTCAACATAATAGCCTTCTGAGTTTAGCCCTCTCTAACTGCAACAGTGAGTTTGCCAGTATTGATGACATAGCCTTACTGTGTCCATCACCTTTAAGAGTTTATCCACTTCTCATTTTGCCATTTTTGGATCCATTCAGAGATGGAGCATTCTGTTTGTTTTGTTAACCCAAGAATAGGTTCTTGCAGATCATGCTCCGACCAGTTTGTCCGCTTTTCCATTACCCACCATTCCCTTGTGCCCTGGTGCCCAAAATACCATCAGGCTGTTGTGTTTCCCTTTGAGATTTTGGATGCATTCACTGACTAATTTTGAAGTATTTTTTTTACATGTTAATGCTTTAATAGTAAGATAGAAGTAGGGAAGATAAGTGCATATATAAACATTTCTTCATACATGGCAAAAGTTCACTAATTTCGTGGTCCGCTTGACCAATTAATATATTACAATTAATTAAGGTTTTTAGTTGAGATAAAAAAGTCAATGGCACGAGTGGGATTCGAACCCACGATCTTTGGCTTGATACGCCGCTGCTCTACCACTTGAGCTATCGTGACCTCGATCTACTCGGACACCAACTTCCCATCTCAACCGCACCTTTTGAATTTTCCCTCCTTTTGGCCATTTTTCAAATGTCGTGTAATCGGATTGGATTCTCGACGACAAAATGGCAAACATGGAAAAAACATGGATGAAAAATGGCAAACATGGAAAAAACATGGATGAAAAATGGCAAACATGGAAAAAACATGGATGAAAAATGGCAAAAAGGAGGGAAAATTCAAAAAGTGCGGTTGAGATGGGAAGTTTTCCAATAAAAACGAATTTTACTTTGCATGCTTATATTTCATACCATCTAACGTTTTTAATGATATGAAGAAAGGGTTAATTTGAAATTAAAAAGGGTTCATTTCAAAATAAAAAGGTGTACTTTCAAATTTTAAAAAAATAATAATTTGATAGGGAAAAAGGGTTAATTGATGAAAAAATTAAATATAAACCACTTGAGCTATCGTGACCTTGATCGGAAGTTGGTGTCAGAGTAGATTGAGGTCACGATAGCTCAAGTGGTAGAGCAGCGGCGTATCAAGCCGAAGATCGTGGGTTCGAATCCCGCTCGTGCCACTGACTTTTTTATCTCAACTAAAAACCTTAATTAATTGTAACATGGCAAAAGTTTTAAGCCCCTGAGTGCACTTGTGAAAGAGGACGACCTAAACGCCAATATTAAAGCAAAATAACAATGAGCATCTCTTCACTCTAAATATAGTTTTAAAATAACAATCTCAGGCAGCAAAAGTTGCTGTATACAAAGCAATTAATTATTAAATCCATTCCGTATGGAAGTGAGAGTGTGGTTTTAACAAAAGGGTGCAAAATGACTCTAAGTGTATAGGAAAGGATGGTCTTCTGAATTTATTCGACCTTGTCTGCAAAAATTAAAATTGGAGAATTTGTAAAAATTCAGAGCTGACAGAGCTGTTTTGCTAGTCAAATATAGTAGCCTATATATTAAAATAATAATAATAAACCATACCACCATTTCGGTAGTTAGAGGCCTATAATTTTCCTCAATCCTGTCTGCTGAGACAGACAAGTTCCTTTACCTTAAAGTTTTAAAAACATTTATAACCTTATACCTCGTGTTTTTGTCCAGCATTTGAGTTTTTCTTTCTCACTCCATTTTTCCAGTTCAAACTTAGGCACACACTCTCGTCATGCACCTAGTTGTGGTTCTGGTCCCCTGAGTGAGAGGGCTACCCCTTTTTTTGGCTAGTTCTAGCCATTTCATTTATTTTAATTCTCTCCAGAATTTAGTGGGGGTTCCTCCTTAGATGTGGCTTTATTGCCTTGTATCTCAGGAGTCAGTTGGCAATCACTAAAGCACTTTAAATAAATATGTAAGGGTTGAAGGCTGAGTTCGGTTTCCTTTGCTGGGAGAGGCATGAATTGCCCCCGTTAAGACAGGCTGGATGGCATGGAGACCATAAGAAGTTGGGAGTAAAGCGGAGGACAGAAGAGGTTTTGACTGTTGAGGAGGCCCAATTAAAATTGTAATGCCAACCAATAAGTAAATTCTACCTAAGTTGTTTGGTTGGGGGCCACGGAAGCTGAGTGGTTAAGGCATCAGACTCTTGGCTGTAGATCGCGCGGTTGTGGGTTCGATCCCCACTGTCGCCTCTGAACTTTTTCTGACGCCTAAGGGGGGACTGGTGGCCACAATTGAAAGAAATTGACATGGCACTCATCAATGGAAGGAGTGGGATCGCATCTCAGCGACCTTGAATTTGGTCTCAACCCCCTTCAAAAATGAGTTTCTTCGATGGAAGAACACCGGCACACCGGGGGCTCAAATTCACGCTTGTGTTGCGAGCCCCCCAAAAAATGGAGCCAGGGATAAAGTACAATAAGCTGTACAGCTGCAGTGCTCAGGAGGGAACTCCCTCAATTCCTGGTACCCATTGTAAAAAAAAAGTTGTTTGGTTGATGTAGAATCCCAAAAAGCATATGACATTGGTTGCTGGTAGAGGAACAGAGTTGTAGTAAATTGGTGGATAAGTGTTATGGCAGAGGGCAAAGGCAGTTGGATTTTTCGTTGGGTCTTATGCTCTACTTCTTGAATCATTGTTCCAAAAGTAAGAGTAGTGTAGTTAAGTATGTGAAAATTAGAAAATTACACTAATAAAGTTAATTTTTATTGTTATTTATTATCTGTTTTACCTTGTTCCAATCACCATTAATGCAGGTTGGTTTATGTCATCGTTAGATTGTAAGCTGGCGAGACTGGTTGACATTTCATAAAACGAATTTGCATCATTGTATGAAAAGACTGATATTTTAAGGTCAGCTTTGTCATGGCATGCCTATGGAAGAAACAAGAAATAGATACCGAATTGGTATAATAATTTATGCGCTAAAGAAAATCGTACAGTAGATATATGACTGTATTTCTTCAGGCTGTTGCTTCCGGCATCCCAGCATTGCAATTTAAATAGTATAATTTTATCCCATATTTTAACCGGCCAGTAAACATTTGTGACTCTGATGCCGGATGTCTCGATGAAATTCGGCGCAGAAAAGATTCCAGCGAATCTCGCTATGATCGTCGATTTGCCCACTCCGCTTTTCCCAACGAAAATCACTTTATAGGAAACTTCCTCCATTTTGGCAAAGACTGCTGGTTGCTCCAAAATCCCTGGAAATAATTTCAACCTGTGCACTGTTATAAAATATATAAATATTTCAGCATCTGGGTTCGAATCATGGCATAGCTCTTGGATTTTATTTGTAAATAAATTGAAAATGAATATTGAAAAGTGTTTCTGACTCCTCATCCACAACACCCAATGGGTAATTGAATGTCTAGCCATGTTTTATGACTGAAACGTCATCCATCGACCTCTTACAGGTTGAAAAAATAAGTACTATTTTTCCAATATAAAAATTGTTACCAAATAATTTTCTCCCGGTGGTTTTAGCATTGTAAAATTGTTGAAGAAGTGTCTCGCCTTCTGCTGTCCTGTGCCAATCTGGATGAACTATTTCCCCAGATTTTAACATGTCCACGTCTGAAATAGTTTTTATTAAATATTAATATTTTCCAAATTTTTACATCTATAATGTGTAGTATTTAGTGATCGTGAATTAATGATTATTTAGAGATTGTGAGATGCGGTGATGTGTGATGTAGGTTTAGAAAAACATTTTCTTTATCGTGCCAACGTTTCAATCTTTATTGAGATCATCTTCAGGGCCTGGGATTTATAAACATTGTTTAAATTATACGCAATCTCTTAATAATTATATTTACAATCTTGAATTATCAGATCTTCATTACTTTTGCAGTGTGATGAACATCCTCAAATCGAAAAGACCAAACTACAAATTTATAATATTTATCAAATTTTAAACAATGTCGTATTTAAAGTAGTAAAAGTTTTAGGTGCATCAGTGGCCACAACGGTTTAAGCAATGACACAGCGCTCATTTCCGAGGGTTCACATAACCTTGCAGTTGAAATACACTCATAAAATAAAATAAAAATAAACAAAAATGTATTTGCAAGTTTTAAAATGGTGAATCAGACATTTTTTAACTGATGTAAGTATCTAATATGAACCAATTTGAACCAGTACTCGGTCGTCACTCACTGAAGTTGGTGCAGGACAGTGTAACATGAGTTCCCAGACTTGCTCCATCATCACCTATCATCATTATGAAGCAAATTGAACTGGCACGGCATCTGTCACTCACTGAAGATGGCGCAGCCCCATGTTGACTGACGAGCAGACCATCATACTAAGGTCTCAATTCATCAATTCATCTCTCTACTCTTCCTGGTCTCTGTACTCTCCTAGCTTCTGGTCTCTACTCATTTTTTGACTCTTCCTGAACTCTGGACTCTCCAGGCCTCTGGTCTCTACCCATCTCTCCACTCTTCCTGGTCTCTGAACTCCCTTGGCTTCAGGTCTCTACTCATTTTTGACTCTTCCTGAACTCTGGACTCTCCAGGCCTCTGGTCTCTACCCATCTCTCCACTCTTCCTGGTCTCTGAACTCTCTTGGCTTCAAGTCTCTACTCTTCTCCAACTCTAGACTCTCCTGGCCCCAGGTCCCTAACTCTTCCTGATATATGGTCTCTCTTGGCTTCAGGTCTCTACTCTTCCTGGTCTCTGAACTCTCTTGGCTTCGGGTCTCTACTCTTCTCCAACTCTGGACTCTCCTGGCCCCAGGTCCCTAACTCTTCCTGATATATGGTCTCTCTTCGCTTCAGGTCTCTACTCTTCCTGGTCTCTGAACTCTCTTGGCTTTGGGTCTCTACTCTTCTCCAACTCTGGACTCTCCTGGCCCAGGTCCCTACTCTTCCTAATCTCTGGATTCTCTTGGCCTCAGGTCTCTATCCATCTCTCCACTCTGGTCTCTGAACTCTCTTGGCTTCAGGTCTCTACTCTTCTCCAACTCTAGACTCTCCTGGCCCCAGGTCCCTAACTCTTCCTGATATATGGTCTCTCTTGGCCTCAGGTATCTACCCATCTCTCCACTTCCTGGTCTCTGAACTCCCTTGGCTTCAGGTCTCTACTCTTCTCCAACTCTGGACTCTCCTGGCTTCAGGTCTCTACGTCTCTCATGGCTTCAGATATCTATCCATCTCTCCACTCTTCCTGATCTCTTGACACTCCTGGCCCCAGGTTCCTACTCTTCCTGATCTCTGGTCTCTCATGGCCCCAGGTATCTTCTCCACTCTTTCCTGATCTCTGGATTCTCTTGGCCTCACATCTCTACTCTTCCTGATCTCTTGACACTCCTGGCCCCAGGTCTCTAGTCTTCCTAATCTCTGGATTCTCTTGGCCTCAGGTCTCTACTCTTCTCCAACTCTGGACTCTCCTGGCCCCAGGTCCCTACTCTTCCTGATCTCCGGTCTCTCTTGCCCTCCTGTCTCCAGTCATCTCTCGACTCTTCCTGTCTCAGTTCTCTACTTTTCCTGGTTTCTGGATTCTTCTGGCCCTGGGTCTCTATTCATTTTTGGATTCTTACCGGGCTCTGAACTCTACTTCATGGCTTGGCCTCAACGCTCATCTTCTATTCAGTTTTCACTGTTCACAGTTACATCTTGTGTTTTTAAATAATGTAGGTTGATATTTCCCTAATCAACAAGCTTATTTAAATTTTTTGACCGTCTATCATTGAAGATGACAAAACGCTGTAACGAAACTGACAGCACACAGAAAACAAACAATGTTAAATGGATTATAAATTCGATAAGCCTTTTTATTGCATGTTTGTATGTACATGTTCAGAAGTGAAAACATTCGCATATGATTCAAGAAAAAAGTTAGAATAAACCAACTGAACTGTTTTGTTTTGGAGAAAACGATGAAAATATGCAAGAAATCACCGATCTGTCCATGCTATCAAATGATTTAGACAATAGAAAATTAATAAACAAATTGAAAAGGTCAAAAAGATAAGATCTTGAGAAGGAAAATGTCTCCTACCATATAGTTTCAGTAGATCAGACGAATTACGCCAAATATTAACAAGACATCTTGAAAAGTCAGTTGAGAGTTGTATTTATACGTAAAATCAGCCCATATTTTTTAAAATTAACATGGATAAATAATAAATAAACAACCTCAGACGGACTAGAGCAAAAGTAATGTTTACTTGTTTGTTGCTAGTGATAGGCAAGCAGGTGGTCGAGTCGAGTTTTTTTTAAATCGATCCTTCAAAAGAGCCAACTGGACGATTTTTAAAAATCAATTCACGTCCAATCTTTCAGTATTTTTTGGCCTTACTAAAAGCCAGTTCATTAAAAAAAAAAAAAAAACCGTGTAAATTGACCCATTAAACATTCTAATTTTCAAGCTTTTGACCACGATTTTTCAATCTCTTTATTCATTTAATCAATATTTCAAAATTTTGTATAGCATTCTAATAAATGTTATTTATTAGAACTAGTTTTGTATGCCACCATGTATTGAAAAAAATTAATTTATATTACTAACATATTTGCATTATTTTTTTATTTTTACCCAATAAAAAGTCTCCATACACCTAGTATTGTTTTGTGTTTGCTTGCAAAAAAAAAATTGTAAAATATTTAATCAAATAAATTAGCATTTTATAAAATAAACATAACAGAAAACTGCCAGTATCAAAATAACAAATCCTACAAATCACATTTGGTTTCATTGATCCTGTTAGCTTTTTCGTAAAAGTTTTTAGAAGAAGTCTTTTTTTAAGGAATATTTTATTTCTTATTTAATAAATTTGGTCAATCAAACTAGCATAGTATTTTTCCGAATGGGCTTTTTTTGCATACACCAGAACCCTACTACTACTCATCTCTCCATTCTGCCTGGTCTATGGACTCCCTGACCTCTAAATCTCTTGACTCTTCCAGGTCTCTGGATTCTTCTGGTCTCAGATCTCTACTCATCTGGTAACTTTATCTTGTCTCTGGACTCTCCTAGACTCAGGTCTCTATCATCTATTGTCTCTTCCTGATATATGGACTCTCCTAGCATCAGGACTCTACTCGTGACTCTGCACTCTACTCTACACCCTATTTGACTATATTTTGATTTCCCAAACTTCTCCTTTTATGCAGTCCTTTCAATAAGGTTACAGGAAGGAAAAATAAAGTCCTTAGGCCTGGTGGTTAAAAGTCACCAAGGGTAGATCGTGACACCACGCTGTCCGACTCATACACATGGAACACCCTGCAATCCCATGGAGTTTCCTTTATGCAGTCCTCAGATGTTTATTATTACCCTAACTAGATTTACAATAACTTTACAAATAAATAACTCATAAATTGGCTGAGGAAAGTTCAACCAAGACACCCATCAATCCTGAACCTTTTTGTAGTACACCTAATTTCCAAAAACTTAAATCAAACAGATAATGTATTAAAAATAAGTCCTTGATTCAAAAGGAATCCGAGGACAATGACAAGCAAAATAGTTCATCAAAGGGCCATCGCCGAAATGGCAGAACTACTAATCCTGGAACGTGTTTGGACTAAAATGATAGTAGGACTGCTGACTGGACACTGCACTCAGAAGGCACATGTATTTGGAACAGCAGAAAAAGGCCTATGCTGGCTGAGATTATTACTCCTGGGAGAGGAAAAGCCAAGGCTTAGAGGATACACATGGTATTTTGATTGCAATTCTTAAATGTAATCTTGTCTGTTTTTGGATCAAGCATGATTTCATAATCTGGAAGATCATTAGATCATATTTTTATACCTTGTCTAATTTTTTTTTGAAGGCGAGCCATGCCTACCTTGGCATGAAGTTTAAATAGTAAGAGTAATTATTCAGAAATCGTGAGATGCGGTCTGGTGGACAGAATTATCGATTAACGGTCACTAATCATCACACAATAGTAAGTCTTTAACAGAGCTTTGGGATCTGACAAAAAGCCTGGAGCATAGCAAAGAGCTCTGCATAATAATTGAGCTTTCACCGTTACTGGTATGGTAAAAAAGATACTAAGAAGCGGGGTTTGCGCTCCCCAGGCACTGCAGCCTTCTGGCTTATTGTACCTTCCTAGTTCCTTACTTCAGTGCAATAGGCCCAATCCTTCTCCTTAGAAGCATCAGGTCACTGTCGCTGCTGCAATTTGATTCCCTAAGTTTTTTCGTACGTTAGGTTAAATCTCCATTTAGCTGTTGCTTCGCATTCGAAGATGATATGAGTGGCTGTACCCATGTTATGTCGATGTTTTCTCAGATGCCAAGACCGGTTAGTAGTCCTACCACTCCTCTGAGTTTGGCCCTTTCCAATTGCAGCAGTGCTTTTGCCAGTCTTGGTGAGGGTTGTTTCATCGTAAGTTTACTATGCACCGCTAGAGTTTATCCACTTTTCCTTTTGTTTTGTTTGGATCCATTCTGCGATGGAGGATTCTATATTTGTTTTTGCTATCCCAAGAGGGCCTAAGTATGGTCTTGCAGATCCTCCTCTGGTCAGACTGTCTGCTTTCTCGTTACTCAAAATTCCCCTGTGCCCTGGCACTCAAGATATCATCAGGTTGTTGGGTTTCCCCACGTTTTGGAGATTTTGGATGCATTCACTGACTAATTTTGATGTGATTCTTTTACATGATAATGTTTTGACTGCTTTGCTGTCAGATCTTAAGAGGATTTTTTTGACAGTGTAACCTCTTTAAAGATTTTCCAGGGCACAAGCATTGATGGCATGTATTTCTGCTTGAAAGACCGAAGTGTACTTCCCTAATGAGTTTGATTGCTCATGTTTTGGGCTTGAACAGAAAACGTCTGATCTGGTTCTTTCGTTTGTTTTGGAGCCATCTGTTACTGGACTCTCCTGGCCTCAGGTCTCAACACATATCTTGACTCTTCCTGATCTCTGGACACTTCTGTCCTTGGGTCTCCTCTACACATCTCTCGAGAATTCCTTTGAGAATCTCTGTGGACTCTCATGACCTCAGGTTTCTAGTCTCTACTTATCACTAGACTCTTCCTTCTCTCTAGTCTCTACTTATCTTTCGACTTTTCCTGGTCTCTGTACTCACCCAGCCTCAGGTCTCTACTCATCAATAGACTCTTCTTTGTATCTGAACACTCCTGGCCTCAGGTCTCTACTCATTACCCAAGACTTTCTGGCCTCTGAACTCTCCTGTACTCAGTTCTCATCTTCGCAAAGAACTCTTGATAATAATTGCAATTTCACAATAGAGCAATATTGGTCACGCTGTGTAAGGTTGAGTTGGTTAAGTTAATGTTAGGGTTATTAATGTTAATTACATATCCATGATTCAATGTTTTTCCATGAAGACATAGAGGAGACAATAAGTGACTGCAAAGCTAAGTGTTTTGTACAAGTATGACCAGTCAGGAAAATTTATATCTTCTTTCTCTCTTCTTTTATTGGTTATCTGTTTTTATTTGACAACTTTCTACTTTGCTTTATTTATAAGTTCACTATTTTTCGTATTCCGCTTGACCAATTAATAGCATTCAATTAATTAAGGTTTTAAGTTGAGATAAAAAAGTCAGTGTCACGAGCGGGATTCAAACCCACGACCTTCGGCTTGATACGCCGCTACTCTACCACTTGAGCTATCGTGACTTCGATCCCCTCGGGCACCAACTTCCCATCTCAACCCCACCTTTTGAATTTTCCCTCCTTTTTGCCATTTTTATTTATAAGAATTGTTAAAATTTTCAAAATTTAATTAGAGAAACAGATTTTTTTTTTTTAATGTATCATCGTAAGAGTGAAACCTTTTTTGTTATTAAATAATATACCACTGAAATAGAAAATAAACTGCCAATGAGGAACAACAACAAAGAAAAAACATCAAAAGCTTGTAATAACTTAATATAATTAAATAAATAATTTGTACAAAACGTTTAAACGAAAACCAACTAAATATTAACAATATTTACAGACTGACTAGATACAAAAATAAATACACAATACATGAAATTTTAATTTCAAATGAATCAATTAAACAAATACCTTAAAAACATCTTAACACAATTACAAAGGTACAGTTTGATCGAAGGCACACACAGACCATTGGTGGACAACTGCCTAAGGCACTCAAAACCAAATTCAACGTGAAAAGACAATACACTTTGTGGAAAATTGTACTCGTGGCGTTTTAAAACTTTGACTCAAACAATAAATTATTCTAAATGTTTTCGAAAATGGTGGAACGTCACATCTCATCTTGGACTTTAAACACTACTTCACACTAAGATTGTGTATACTGCAATAACACTCTTAACTCTAATTCATGATCACTTAAAAACTAGATTTAATACCAGTTTCAGTTTTAATATGTCAGCCTAATAATGCAATTCTGATTTTACAATTCCCATACAATATAAATAAATAAATACAAATGATTAAATACATTCTACACTCATGTTCCAAAATTTATTTGTAACTAATGGAATAATAAATTTAATACTTTCTGTTACTTTGGAACATAGGGAAAAATACACATCAGTTGATATCTAACTCTAAAATTATGATTATCATCTCAGAACACACTCTTTAAAACATCTTGTTCGTTGGAAATTTGATGTAAGTATATACTTTACAAAAAATATTTATTATCACATTTTATGGATGGAAACAATTTCATTAGAGTCTTAATTATTACAGTGAAAGTTAAAACTAATTATTTCTTTTTTACAATAATCAGAGTTTTAGTTTCATATAAGAGTGAATTTTGAAATCTATCGTAAATCCGTGTATTAATTAAATCGTAAAATTTTTGCGCCTTACTAATCTAAGTGATGAAAAGCCTCAAATTTTGATAAATTAAGGACCACTTTTCTAACAATTTAAACTTCACTAATGCTCGATGTTTCCTAATTTCAAGTACCTTATCCTAACTGATACAAAATGGCAAGGATACTTGACAATGCTAGTTTTAGTATTAGTTATGCAATCATTGTTTAAGATAGCTTTGAACAACTTTAAAATATACTAAAATAAATAATACAAGTAATAAAAAGACTAGTCGATTATCTTAATGCGTACAGAAATAAAAACAAGTTGATACACTTTTCTTTCTGTGTTCAATTTTTAAAATCTAGCGTCTAGTTGTTGGCATCTCATTGTTTTGAATTTTTTTCACAATAACTTATATAAAAAAGATATTCTGTATACATATTTTTAATTATATATATATTTTTTCAATAGAAATGTTTTTTTATCATGAGTCCTAATAATAAATTAGAACACAATTTTCAATATTGAAACATTAACAAAAGTTCATAAGTGGTTTTATTTATTTTTACATTTTTTGGGAATATTTAAGACTTCAAATTTATCAATTATTTCTGTTTTAAATACATAAGATCATGACTTAAATAAGACCATGAGCAACCAGCAACATAGACCGTACTACACTAAAAAAAATTAAAAATATTACCACTGTAGGCTAACATCTGAAATATATCTATTCTAAAACAAAGATAAACTTATTTTATTCATTGTCTAGTTTAGCATCAATTAAATACAAATTTATTGTACTATTGTTTTTTATTATTATTAAAGCTTTTTGAAATAATCACAGAAAAATCCCTAGCTCAAAATAAAATGGCAGAAAAGTTTTTTTTTATTAGTACAATTCAATATTTCTTGATTTTGTTGACTTTTATGAACACAATGAGTCAGAAATTATCTGGCCGATTTAGATCTAAATTTTCTTGAGATGTCATTAAAAATCTAATTAACATTGAAGGCACATAACCGTGTATTTATAGACAGGAGTCTAATTAAATTGTACATTTATATTGTGATTGGACGATTACACATGATTTAATACGTTCACATTTCATTATAGAAATGTTGAAGTATAGAAATGATCTTTTTTTTCTTCTTTTTATTCAACCTCTCGAGTCAAAAACATTTGTAGAAATTTTAGTATCAACCCGGTGAAACACATATTGCATAACCAAAATGCAATGAAACTCTTAATATTATATAATTAACAATATGAACTAACGACGTTTAAATATACACGAATGTAACTAAAACCAAACCCACAAGTAAAACCAACAAAGAAAAAATGTGATTTTGTGCAAATGGCGTAAACGGTAAATCGAATACTTATTCGCATGCCAGTTTACTATCGAAACTACTGAGTGCAATAGCAAACGCCTGTAGTGCACACATAGGATAACGGTAATCCATTGTGAAGACATCTTCAGCTATCCTTCCAAAAGACATCACCACATAGTCAACTATAAAAAAACAAAAGAAAAAAAAAGCGGAGAATTAATAACAAAAAGGATACATTTATTAAAAATTAAGCATTTTTTTAAAGTTCACAATTTTATGGTTTACTTTTGCTATATTTATAATATATATATAATTCGTTCAGCTAGGTTTATTTTTTAGGAAAACTGTACGAACACAACGATAAATTTGATTGAAAGATTATTCACTAATTGAGGTTAATAAATTTTCCTTCTTTTTTTAAATAACTATATTGGGTTAGCATAAGTTTGGTTTTTTGAGTGAAGTTAAACATATTTTAGTTATCCTTTTCGAGAATCATGATGAGTTATCTCGTGAATTTTTGTCTTTCTCAACACTCAAATCATTCTTGATTGGTTAACTGACTGATATAACCACTTTTTTTCCCATATACAATACTTATTTTTTAGGGACTTCTGCAGCACTTTTGCCTTTTTTTCTTTCTTTTTTTTAAATAAAAAAAGCAAAATATGTTAGTAATCCACGTTTGTTTCCTTCCATTATGAAAAAATTCTTATTCATTCAAGTTTAGTTTTTGAGTGAAATTAAACATATTTTATTTATTCTTTTCAGGACTCATGACGAGTTATCTAGTGAATTTTTGTCTTTCTCAACACTCAAATCATTCTTGATTGGTTAACTGACTGATATAACCACTTTTTTTTCCATATACAATACTTATTTTTTTAGGGACTTCTGCAGCACGTTTGCCTTTTTTTTTTAACTAAAAAAAGCAAAATATGTTGGTAATCCATGTTTGTTTCCTTCCATTATGAAAAAATTCTTATTCATTCAAGTTTGGTTTTTGGATGAAGTTAAACATATTTTATTTATCTTTTTCGGGAATCATAACGAGTTATCTCGTGAATTTTTGTCTTTCTCAACACTCAAACTCATACTTAATTCTCATTTATGTATTATTTTAATGTAATTCAAATTTCACTTACCATCTGAGTCGTGAACAATTTGGAAATTTTTAACAGAGGCTTGAGTAACTCTGCCGTGAAAATTCAGTACGTATGACTGAGTGTCGTCGTTCCACACTGGAGTCTTATTATGGAGTTGTATCAAATTGTCCATAATTTTTGATCTATAGCATTCAAGAAGACTTTCTGTTTCATCCGATGGAGTAATTTGAAGTCGTTGGTTATTAGCTGTCATCCCTGGTAAAATGACTGTCATTTTCCTTGGACCCTTGAAGCCGAGGACGTTTGTATCCTGAAATAATTTTATATTTCTATTGTGTTGCTATTTATTTTGTCGTTTTGAAAACTTACATAAACTACCGCAGCAAGTTCCTGTCTTGGTCGGACTTGATCCTTTGAATTGATCGATTTCGGCGATCTCCCGTTGTCATACACTGTGAACTGTGTGCCAAGGAGATTGGATCTAAGTTTTCCAATAAAAGCTTCACCACCACGAGATAAATCAGTAGGATCGGTTGAAATCAAATAATTACTTGTTGTACTCTTTTTCCGCTTTCTCCCAGCAAGTAGAAATATCTAAAAAAATAATGAGACAAATTTATATAGATTTCAAAACAATCAGCACATAAAGTTCCTAAGCATACTTTTTTTCCAAACTCTCTCTCAAGGTGTAAAAAATACGTTGGATACAGTCCTCTATCCATTCCTTTTCTATCTCGAGTTATCCTGCATTTGTATTGAATTTGCTGTGGAGCCGACTCCAAAACAAATTTTTCCAGATTTCCCACAATGTCTCCCTCAAAATCTGTCGTCTGTAATAATTAATAAAACATTTAAAAAAAAAAAGGAAAATTAAAATGTGTGAAAAAAGTACCTCAATATTTTGATTCATATTAATTGTGTTGTATATAAATGGAGATGTAACGTTGGGTTCAGGGGCTATTACTCCGCTAGATCCAAAACCTTCTGATGGTGTCTGTGGAGTCACAGGAGAAGATTCAGTATCCTCAATATCTAAATCATCACTCATGTTGTTATCTAAACATAAAATTAATAAAATGAGAAACAAAATTAAATTATCTTTTGTTAAAAGTTGCCTGAACCAAATATTAATCCAAATTTTAAAAACAATATATTTGATATTTACTTAAAATGATAGATAAATAACCATGTACGGTTATTTTATTTATGTATAATAAAACAATTACCATCACTTCCTTGAGAAACTGTATCGGGAAATGAAATTGACATCTCACTTGCATCAGGATTTCCGTGAACCATCGTGAATTGGAGTGGTCCATCATAGCCTGAAAATAAACCAAAATAGATAAATGCACAATACAAAAATAAAATAAAACAAATCTCTAGACCAAGTTTAAAAATAATTATGAACTGTAATAAATCACTTTTCAATTATATTATTAATTAAAGTTTTAGTCCACGAGGTTTATATACTAGCTGAACCAACTTATATTAATTTTTAAAATAAATCCAAGAATGATTTATCAATAATTTTAGTTGTAAAAAAGTATTGTTTAAATACTTCATTTAAAAATGAATAAAATTTAATTTACCGTGTAATTCTCTGTCCCTTGATGCTGATGAAGGATTCATAGATCTTGCTTTCACCAAAGAGGCGCTTGTGATGTCTGAAGCATGGACTGTTCCAAAGAGTTGTCGTTTTTGTCTCATTTTCTGCTCAAGCAACTGACGCTGGGGGAAAAAAAAATAAAATTTATATGTGACTTCGTTCTCAGACTCTCTTAGTTGTCCTCTTTTTGACCCAAAATTGGATAGAAGAAATATGTTGTACCAGTTTTCCATCAAACCATAAGTAGACAAAATAACACTTTTTTTATTTTCTTAAGTAGTAAATTCAGGTGTTACTGGGCATTAGAGTAATTTTACATCAAACACATTTCCCATCAGATACTTTGCAATCAGAGGAAAATTGCGAAAATGCTGAAATGACATTGCATCAAACCAAAACTCTTAATATGTTATCTTCTCTATTATGATCAGGATAGAAGCAGAAGAAAAAGTGAACATATCGATAGACGTTTCTCAACAGAGATAGGTCTCAATTTAAATCCAATCTTTCAGCCCTGACAGAGATGAAGGTTCGGTGAGAAAGGTCTGAAAAGTTGCAAAACCTGGAAATGGAAGAAGCAAGCCATGGTTGAATGAAATAAATCAAAAGGCAAGACTTCACCAAAATTGGTGTGCCAAAGTTTGCCAATTTCCTTAAAATGTATAAAACTTACATTAATAATTTTTAAAACTCATTTATTTTATTTTATTTTATTTTTTGGAACTCCTGGTGCAGTTTTTGTGAGACGGAAAAAAAGTCAAAGAATATCATCCTAATTGTGTCATCTCAACTGTTAAACATGGTGGACGAAACATGATTTGGGGATATATGGGAGCTTCAGGTGTCAGAAATGTTTTTATGTGAAGTAAGGATGAAAAGCGATACATACACATCAATGTTATGCAGAACACTGAACGACTAAAAAAAATATTTTCCTCCGGAAAATATTATTTTTCAACATGGCAACTTGCCTAGCCACGTTTCTAGCAAAAACAAACAATGGTTTAAACAAAACACTTGATTGGCCTCCTTATTCATATGAATTAATTTGAATCACAATAAAGAAGTGCTTTGTTGAATTTCAAAATAATGGAACAAAATTAGTAAAGACATCTGTTTGAAACTTGTAAACACAATGCTTAATAGAATAAATAAGACCAAAATTTACTAATAAATTTGAATATTCATAGTTTTTGTCAATGTTATAATAATTGATTGATGATTCTTTCTTATAATTAGCAGGTGTTATGAGGAGTTTCAACATCCTCTGCCTTATCCTATGGATGTGAAGTCAGCTGGTATCATAGTGTCCATTGTCGGTTTTCCTACATATCTCTACTTTGATTATATTGTCTATTATAGATAATTTTAGATATAAAAACTTTCGAACAACCTTATTTGCTTATTTCTAATGTGAAATTTATGTTAGGGTGTAAGGAATTAAATTGGCAATTTTTTTTATATATATACTTTTTTTAGATCTAGGGCTCCTGACCATATACGTAAAATATCGTCTACAAAACTTATCCATTATAAGCAAAAGTTGGCCCTTCCACTTGTGGTAAAAAGGCGCTGCAACTCATTTACACACATATATACTTTGTGGTCTAACTTAAGTTTGGCGGATCTCAGGGTGCAGAACATTCTGCTGAGGGCTTGCCACCATTCACACTAATAAATACATTCACGCCATCAGGAAATTTTCATACTATATGAACAATTAAAAATGTGGGAGGCACTGGCATTTTATGTTGGTGTCCAGCCAACAATTACTTTAAAAACATTTTTGTGTGAAACGAACATCACATTAGGAGTTAGAAGGTTTTAAATTATAAAGGACATTGATAATGAATACAAAAAAGCCATTAGTCTGTGGCCATGTAATTTTTATCTTGGTCATGAAATTAAAAAGGTGAAAGAAATACACATTTGTTCATCTATTAACGGATTGAAAATAGGTGGGATTTTATCGACCCACTTTCAATATCAGCCCCTGGGATTGGAACATATTTTGTGAGTGAGTGAGAAAGAGAGCAAAGGGAGAGATGGAGGGATAGATAAAGGGAGAGAGGAGAGAAGGAGGGAGAGGGAGAGGGAGAGAGAGAGATGGAGGGAGTGAGAGAGAGAATGGTGAGAGAGGGAGGGGTGCGTGAGTGAGTGGTGAGTGTGAGTGAAAGAGAGAGTGAGGGAATGGTGAATGAGTGAGAGAGTATGGGAGGTAGGAGTGAGTGAGTGAATGGTGAGTGTGAGTGTGAGAGAGAGTGAGGGAGTGGTGAATGAGTGAGAGAGTAAGGGAGGGAGAAGTGAGTGAGTGGTGAGTGTGTGAGAGAGAGAGTGAGTGAGGGAGTGGTGAATGAGTGTGAGAGTAAGGGAGGGAGGAGTGAGGAGTGTCTGAATTAGGGAGTGTGTGAATGAGTGGTAAGTGTGAGTGTGAGAGTAAGGAAGTGAGGAGTGAGTTAGGGAGTGCATGAATGAGTGGCAGTGTGAGTGAAAGAGAGAGATATAGAGAGTATGAACGAGAGAGAAAGTGAGAGTGACAGCGTGAATGAGTGAGAAAGTGCATAAGTGAAAGGGTCATACGAAAGATCAAGACCAGCTTAGAGCGTACGAATTTAGGAGTTAACAGTTTAAAATATAAAGAACATTCATAATGCATACAAAAGAAATTAATTGCTCTATGGCCATTTAATTTTTGCCATGATCATGAAATCCCATGAAATAAAAAAGGTTCAATACATAGGTATTCGTTTATTGAAAATTGATTAAAAATAGGTGCAACTTTTGATGTATCACTTTGAATTTCTCAAAACCTGTTTTATTTATAAAGTTTAATAATTCCTGAAAAATGAAATAAAACAAACGATGTAATGCGTTGTTGACAACCAGGTGATTCAGAGCTGTGAAATAAGCAGATTAAACTGTTTTCACATCTGCATTAAGGCTGATGTATTTAATTTAGTTTTAAAAAAATCCAACGACCTGAATGTCAATAAAACAAAAGATCCCAGGCGGTTCGCAGTATCTTTTACAAAAGATATTCATATTTGTTCATAAGAATATTGGAATAAAATTTAGAGGAAAAAACAGTCAGACTTTTGTCCCTGGACTTGTAAATATTTCGCTACTCGGTGCAATTGGCGCAGTTCAACAGTGTTTTGCATAAACAAAACTGGAAACGTTTTATTGATCAAACTAGAAAACGTTTAATTTTTCGAAAGAAGGTCAAATTAGCCGGCCGTGCTTACCTGCTGTTCGAGTTTCTGCTGTCGTACGCCGATTGAAGTCATGTTGAACTTAGAAAAATAAACGATCCGTCCGAAAATTAAAAGGCCGCTTCGGGTGAGTGTGTTGTGAGAGATTCGGCGAGGCTGCCTCCGGCACGATTGTTTTCCCTTTGGTTCCCGTGCCAGGGCTGCGGCCGATTAGTGCTGGGGACTGTGCGGCCTCCACCGGCCGGGGCGGGAAGCCGGCTCGTTAGACGTCACAAAAGGAAAAATCCACACCGATTTTCACAAATACTATTTACTTATTTATAGCGAAAAATCCCAATTACAAATACAGTTTCCTTCCTAAAGAAAAGCAAGAGAGAGAGAGAGAGAGAGAGAGAGAGAGAGAGAGAGAGAGAGAGAGATTAAGTGAGTGAGTGAGCGTGAGAGAGTGAGTGAGTAGGAGGGAGTCATACGAAAGACCAAAATCAGTTTAGACGATTCTGATATTTTTTGCTCAGTGAATCCCCTTCACTACAAAAAAATGAAATATTGGATCAATCTACATTTTTTCTTGTCAAATCTATCATATTTAGTGGTCTGATTGAGTAAATTACTTCTTTCAATTAATTAATCTTTTTATGTAAGGTTTTGGTTGAAATGAAAAAGTTAGTGCCACGAGCGGGATTCGAACCCACGACCTTCGGCTATGGTGGGTTCGAATCCCGTTCGTGGCACTAACTTTCTCATTTCAACCAAAACCTTAAATAAAAAATTAATTAATTTTTCCTTGTGTTAAGTATAATAAACTTACTGCTTAAAAATGAGAGAAAAAGAGGAAGAAGCAGTGAAGAAAATGTTAAATAAATTAAACAAAAGGATTTTTTAAAGAAGTATGCAATAATAAAATGTGTTAAATTTTTTTCTGTACATACTTATTTATTTTTAACGACTTCTGTAATCCAAATTTTTCAGTAATCCGAATATCACCTTGCAATGACTAGTTCTGAATACTGAGAATATATGCCCCAATAGGACAATAAAAAAATATTCAACTACACACATTTTATAACTATTTTAAATCGATGAAGAGACAAATTGTAAATATCAATTTCCTTCGGTAGATTGAAACTGCCCATTAGTCAAAGTAAAGTGTCTAATACAATTTGTGTCATTCGATTTCTTGGAGAAACTAAGTCGTCAGGTGTTACAAGTAGGATCTGGAAAGCTTAGTCAGGATAGAAAATCAAGACAGTCAATAATAATATGTAACAATTTGTAGAAGAAGATTATGCCAAAAAGATTAAAAGTCTAGGGTATTGTTAACCGAAGAATAGTCATGTACTCGGAGAGCGATGCGACATTGAGGGCAATTACAGCATCGGTGGTAAAGTCCAGAGTCGTTTGGGATTGTATTAGGGTCCAGTCAGATAGAGGATAACAACAAAATAAACATTGACTTGGTATCAGGCTATACGGGGCGGAGGGGCAGAAGAGGCCAAGGAAAATTCGATGAGGACACCTCCCGGCTGTTTTATTGCATACCTGCCAAAAATGTAGATCACGTTGTAGTCTAGGACAGGCATGCGAAAAAGTTCATTAAAGAACCATAGCAGAGACCGGTCGAGCTATTAAAACTGCTGACTGGACATTGCAGCCTACGGAGCAGTATTCTAAGCAGCAAAAACAAGCCTGAGCAGATATTGCCAGGATGAAGAAGAATAAGCGGAACATGTCATTTGCTGATACGAAGACCTATGTAGGCCGAGATTCCTACTTCTGTGAGAGTAAAATGCAAGGCCAGAAGGATAAAAAAGCTTTGGGATCAAAAGCCTTAAACTTAACGAAAATTGCTAACTCCTTTTAACATTAACCTCCTTTTTAGTTTTCCAACTAACAAATCCTCCATACTTTTAATGCCCAACAAATTATTCAATTCGATTTATTTTCTCAATCCAGTATAAAATCGTATAGTTTCATCAATGCATCCTATTGATGTATTCAGCCGACGTTTTGTATATTCTTGTAAAATTTCATTCCATTACATGTATCATTTGTGCTGAGCCAGTAACGAACTCTAGATTTTTATGTAAAAATATTCACCTAAAGTTAATTTTTCATCGAGTTGTCAAACATTTCATAATGTTTCGGCTCTCTTGGACACAATCTTCAGGATGAAAATCTACAAAACACAGGCAGGTCCAATGGCGAAAATCAACAGTCATCTTCTTCCCTGACCGTCCCGTCGAAAACAAAAACATATCCACCTAAAATTTTACGAAGTAGGTAGAAGGTTGAAATTTGGCTGGCTGTTCCTTTCTTAAAAGAAAATTCACATCGGTTTCGATTTTGGCGCCTTCCAACGAGTCAGACTTGATCTAGACTGTGCTGTCTAGTGTCTGAGTAGTATGAGTACTACCAGTATGGTAACATCTCAATAACATTAATTATTGAGTTCATTAAATATTTCTATTAACACAAATAGAAAGTAAAAAAAAATAGTCTGCAGAGGGAAAATTTCTAAAACAAATGAGAAAAACAATACATTATTTATAGCCACAATTAAGCTTCTTTGTAAACATAAATTTCGATTAGATTCAAATCGAAAATATTTAATTTTATTGTAGGTTAAACCATAAAAATTAAACTAATATTTTTTTTTGTAATGTTTATAAAATAAAATGTTTATAAATTCATTGTTGTCAAATTCCACTGCTCAATGGATAACAAAGTTGACGGTTAAGGTGACGCTTAACTCACGGAGAAAAAGCTAGAGAGAGAAACTCACATTGTCGGTAAGTATTTGCCCAAGTTGATCCAGGACAATCGTTAACCTTTTTCCGGAAATGTGTAAGTTTTAATTATTTTTTATTGTCAATTTTTCATTTATTGGTCAGATTTGTTATTCGGCGTCTTGACGTCGTAAAATCGTGAGCCCCCATTTTGAAAGAAGATTCTTTCCATCCTAAAATGTCCGAACACGCGGCCGACAACGTCTGTGTGGGCAAAACAAGTGCGCTCTTAAAATTGTCTTAGTACTTTTTAATTTTAAATGTTATTTAACATCAACAAAATCAAATTTTCACTTTTCAAATCATGGATTAAAGGTTTGTTTAAATAAACTGGGCCTTACCGAAAAAATACGACACGAGACCAGTTGGGACGTATTAAATTATTTTTGACGGTTATTAAAAAAGGTTATTAACGTTTGTTTTGCCGAATATATTTATGTATCATATGCGGCTTAGCGAGCCAAGTGTATAAAATCGGAATATCTCTTTTATTGTTTTCTCGTTTTAGCTCCAGGGATCTTGAAACAGGAAGACATTTAAACCTAATGGAAAAACGGCCTTTTATCATTTCGAGAATTAAATTGGGTAAAAATGTCATTTTGAAAACTTCCTACCTAATACAGGTTTTTCAAATTAAATTTACCCTTTTGCAAATTAAATTCACTCTTTTACGACTAAAATTTACTCTTTCGCAAATTAAATGAATCCTTTTACAAATTAAATTCAATCTTTTGCAAATCAAATTCACCCTTTTGTTAAATAAATTCACTCTTTTGCCAATTAAATTCATCCCTTTGAAATTTACATTCACCCTTACTATTCAAATTCACCCTTTTGCAGATTAAATCCACTCTTTCCCAAATTAAATTAATCCTTTTACGAATTAAATTAAAGGTTTAATTTAAAGAGTAAATTAAATTAAACCTTTTGGAAAATAACTTCACCTTGTGAAAATTAAATTAACTTATGCAAATCAAATTTACTCTTTTACAAATTAAATTAATCTTTTTGCAAATTAAATTAACTCTTATACAAATCAAATTTTCTATTTTGCAAAACAAATTCACTCTTCTATAAATCAAATTCACTCTTTTGCCAATTAAATTCATCCCTTTGAAAATTACATTCACAGTTACTATTCAAATTCACCTTTTTGAAATCAAATTCTCTCTTTTTTCCTTTTTTTTTTTATAACAAGATTCGCTTTTTTGCAAATCAAATGAATTCTTTTATAAACTAAATTCACTCACAAAAACAGTAATTTAATTTACAAAAATAATAATTTCATTTGTAAAAGAGTGAATTTGATTAGTAAAAGAGTGAATATAATTTGCAAAATGGTGAATTTGATTAACAAAACAGTAATTTAATTTGTTAAAGGTGAATTTATTTTCTACAAAAGGGAAGTTAAATTGCAAAAGGTTGAAGTTAATTAGCAGAAAAGTGAATGCAAATTACAAAAGGGTGAATTTGATTTGTAAAAGGATTCATTTAATTTGGGAAATGATGCATTTTATTAGTAAAAGAGTGAATTTAATTTTCAAAAGGTAGAATTTAGTTAGTAAAAAAGTTAATTTTATTTGCAAAAGAGTGAATTTAAATGGCAAAAATTTAATTTGAAAAACCTGTATAATATTATATTTAAAATAGGTAAGTATGGAACTGTAAATTTTTATTTGAGAGTATATTCAAATTTTACATAAATTGTGACATTAAAACGATAAATTTATTTTAAAAGCTTAAATCAAATCTACTTGGCAAAATTTAACAGGTTATTTTTTTATTCAATCCTGTTTCAGATGTCAAAACGTTTTTTCTTTTAAACTATTCTAATTTACTCTCTCTCTCTTACTCTCTCTCTCTCTCTCTCTCTCTCTCTCTCTCTCTCTCTCTNACACACACACACACACACACACACACACACACACACACACACACACACACACAAAGTAAAAACGGCTTTTACGGAACAAAGAACTTTTCCTGTACGTGATAGTGTTGGTGCCATATTCACGTTACGCATAATCACTTAAACAAATTATCCGAGCGTAATTTAATTTTAATTTTAATTTCTATCTAATCGATTGGCTGGCGGCCCCATGGCTTCCCCCCTGGAGTTCTCGCCTTAGCGGTACATTTCCAACTTTCCCAAACTCAGATATTAACAATTTAATTCAATAAAAATAAAATAAAAAAATTTAAAAGAATAAAAAACGGCAGAGATTTGAGAGTCTAACTAGTGACAGTAGAGTCAAATACAGGTGTTTACATATTCATTGGCTGCCCACACAAATCTAATTACAATTACAAATACGCATTTTTTTAATGGATTGTTTTGTGGTTTAGAGTGCTGAGCTTAAAAGAAATTATCGAAATATGTCTAAAGAATATTCACCCAGAAATTCCTCAAGTTGATTTAGATTGAGTGGCAATAAAATTTAGATTGATTGACATTGAAAACTGCACTTAAAAGTCTTTGGTTTGTCAAATTAAGCATTTTATAACTTTTCAAACCATGTGCTCTTCCTTATAAAACGAAAAAACTAGTTTTACTTACATTGATGTTCTTATAAAACAACTGATATAAAGAAGTAAAATAAAAAAAAAATTGAGTTTTGTTTCTGTTTAACATTCTTTTGCACCAATTAGCGTGAATTTTATGATGTTAGGGATGATAAATCCGTTTAAAGAAAGAAAATTTTTCGAACCATATTGAAATAAATCTGGATCATTTTGATACGCCTCGAAGTAAGCCCTGTTTACTCCAAAAATCGGTACAGGGAGCCTAAAAAATAATTGTAATAATAATAATTAACGTTTTTTTAAATATTCAATACTAAAAAAGTAATTACTTAAAAAGTAATAAATTAAAAAAGCAGAACATGATACGTAAACTGTGGGTTTGTCAGTTTTATTTTTAAACCCGTTACATTTTTTTTGTGTAACGTAAGCCGAATTAAATTATCTAAAGTAAAAGGTAAAACGATTTTTTTAATACACTTTGAACCACTTTTAATAATTAAATTACGTAAGTACTCATATCTACAAGACCAGGCTTAACAATAACTTACCAGGCTCGTCTGACACAAAAAACATATTCAAATTAACTTAACATAAACGTAAAGTTTTATTGTACAATTTATTCTTTACCCCAGGCAGCCAGATAAGTAATCGTTTATGTAAGATGATAATCTATGTGAGGTCAGGTTTTTCACAAACATGGAACAAAACAACCAGTTTAAACACCAGTTTGACAAAGGGAAACTGGTTGTTTCAATCCATATTTTTAAAAATTCTGACCACAGATTACAAGAACAACTTTGGGAAAAATGGGATAAATGGTTAGGGATGAATTTTTTTTTCTTTTTGTATCTGGAGAATATTTCAAAAAACATGGCATCGTAATCGTTATTGGTTATAAAATCGCTATGTAGAATTTTACAATAATTTTTTTTTATTCTGTTCTTGGGTTCAAAGCAATGTTTAACTATTGTTTACACACTCTGAAAAAAGGATTATTTTTTATCCAGATCTCATATTTCTACAAGAAGTTTTTGTTAAAAATAAAACCGTATGAAGAGAATAGTGCGTTCGAAAATGCTCAGACTGCTAGGAAAGTCTAATGTTTATGAGATCAAATTGAGTCCTTAACAATGTTCAAAAGGAAATCCCGGAGAAAACGCAGCGACTCACCGTTCTCCTAAGGACTATTGCTCAGGCAGTGGAAATGGTTCATATATCTCTGATCGAATTTGTTTAAAATCACCAGACATTTCATTGAATTTTCAATCAAAAAACCCTACGGACTTATTTTTCGAGCCGATATGGACTGGAGAATGTAGGTGTTTAATAAGTAAGTTTTTCGAAAGGCGATTTTCCAGGTAATTCGCATTGATTGTGTACAACTCTGTGCTCAGGCGAACGTTTAATCATACAAATCCATTATTATATTAAATAATTAATTTAATGTTTATTTATTAACGCTTAGCATCGACGTTGCTGTTCAATCCTGCTTGGAACTAAGGAGACCCCGATGGAATTAGCACGTTCTCCAAGAAAAATGCAAATATAGTAAGTAAAAAGAAGTTAAAAAAAAGAAGTTAAAAAAAAAAAAACGTAAAACAAACATAAAAAAAGACGACTTTGTTAATACACACAATATTTTAACCATGTTCTTGTTTCCATTGGTAAGTAAATGACTGATTTCTTTAAAAAGGACGAAGGATCCAGCAGGAAGGCCAGCGTCTCCAAGTAACAGGTAAGTTCAGTATATTTTAAAATAATTATTATAACAGCACAATTCTTTAACAAAATGGCAAATCCTGTAAATTTTGTCTTCCTTGATTAACATTAACGACAATTTAAACACCCTTAACAAATAAATCGTATTAAAAAAATTATTTTCTTGTTTGTGGAGTATCCAGAAATGTTTTGGACGATTCAAGAAAATTCTGATATTTATATTTTTTCATGTTTTTAGAGGTCCTTTTTTAACGTCAGATTTGTTGTGTTAAGCTAGCAAAAGTATTTATTTATTTTCCATTTTTCTTCCTTAGGCTTTTTACTCTTCATCCGCTTCCTCATTGTGTTTTTTCTAATGAAATTCACCATTTATATTCATACATATTTATTTATTATCTTGAAAATATTAATTGTCAAAAGGTTGAATTTAATTAGAAAAAAGAGCATATTTGATTTGCAAAAGGGTGAATTTTGTTACTTTTTTACTTTTTAATTTTTATAATTTCTTCTCGATCATTTCTGATAGATTTCTTACAAAATACTTAACGATTATTTAGAGATCGTGAGATGCGGTTATAAAACCCAGGCCCTGAAGATGATCTCAATAAAGATCGAAACGTAGCACGATAAAGAAAACATTTAAACCATGAGGAACGTCTTTCTTGCTCTGTAATATATACTGCCGATTTGTAAACTTTGTATACATATTAAAGAATAAAGACATATAGTAGTAGTAGTAGTAAAGAAAACGTTATTCTAAATCCACATCACACCAGACGGCATCTCACGATCTTTAAATAATATATATATGTATGTATAGAAATTCTTGATTTGGAAATAGGTGAATTTAATTTGAAAAACCTGTAATGTAAGTACTACTTTCAAATATTTAATTAATATTGCATTTTTTTAAATGTAGTGAATGAATTTAAAAACATAATATTTATGTTTATAATGATAGTTTTTTTTTCATTTGAAAATAGTCCAGAAAAACATGAATAAGGAAACGAGATTTTGAATTAATTTTTCATAATTTCTATTCTATCATTCTTAAAAGATTTCTTACTATGTAATTTCACGTTAGTTTATTTGAAAAAAGGTAAGTTTAATTTGCAAAACAATCAGTCTTATTTGTAAAAAGGTGAATTTCATTTTTTTTGCGTATCATGACTATGTACTGGCGAAGAGTACCGATGTGGTATGGTATTAAATAATATAAGTTATGTAAAGAAGGAAAATGAGGTGAAGATTTTCCACAGGACACCAAAGGCATAAGTAAAATGAAAAGTTGAATATTTATTGTAAGAAAAACTGAAATTGTCGGACTGGAGAGAGGAAGTTGCCTTCGATGACGTAACGGCGAGAGCAGGACGGGCTCAAGGCGGCGCCACTGCCACCTGCGAATGAATCGTCGTCCGTTCACCGTCCGTTCCGATGCGAACGATCAATTTACGGAAAATGGAAAAAAGGGCGAAAATTTAAAAGCGGGGCGGTTTTCCCGTAAAGGCGGGGGGGGCGTGTGTTTCCGTTGTGGCGGGGCCGGGGCGCCTCGGCTCCCCCCACCCGTTTTCGCCTGAGTCGGACGCTGCTGCCACTCTCGGAAATGGTGCCAAACGTCGAGTTTTACCTGTTAGTTCTCACTCGTTACAGTCCTTCAGTTTTGCTCGAACGCAAAGGAGCCGCTCTCCGTTTCAAACAAGCGTAGGGTGCAATACAATTGGAGCCGAGCCGAGGACCCGTTCCACGCGTTGATTATGTGATTTAGAACTGTGCCGGAGAGTCGAGCCCGTTTTTAAATATTTTAATACGTCTGACGCCATTTTGCGGGACCGGACTCCAGGGGCGATTTCTGCCTTCAGTTTCCATATTGGTCGCGTTTTCGAGCGAGACGGTGACCGTTGTCGAAAGGAGCCGACGGAAGGGACTCGCGGCCGGAATGCAACGCCGACGAGACTGAGTCGACAGACAGACCGCCGAGGATGACTCGCCCAGGGGCCTAGGACTCAGATCACTCACGAGTCGAGACCTTTTTTTTTGTTTTTTATTTTTTTTACGTTCTCTCACGACAAAAACACAAGTGCAAACGGAAAACTTCTTAGTGTCGCGGTTGAGAGTCGGCCCGCCGAAACACGCCACTCAAATTTTTCAAATGAGTAAATGCATCGAAACACAACGTTGAACCCACGGAAGCGATCGCGATGGCATTCGTTCTCAACAAAGAACCGTCGATGTACGACAAAGAGAAGGACAGATTCATCCAAGAGTTGCAGCACTTTCACGAAACGAGAGGGTAAATATTAAAAAAAGAAAAGAAAAATACGTCCCAAAACAAAAAAAGACCCTTGAAAAACAGCCACCTCGGGACACAGCTTTAAAGTCGCTTTTTCCCATTTTCCAGAACCCCGTCCAGGAGGATACCCAAGATCAACGGACACGAGATCGACCTTTATCTCTTGTACACCTTGGTCACAGGGAGAGGAGGTTGGCTGAAGGTAAGATAGCATTTCTAGCCCGAGAAAGGCGTTGTCAGACCCTTTTTTTTCGGTTTTCAAAACTTCAGACCACTCCGGCTTGAGTCGAATTCATTCACAAAACAGAGAAAATAGTGGAAAGAGCCAACACATTTGCCCACTATTTTCAATGGTGTAGAATACAAAAAATAAAGACAAGCCCTGGATATAAGGTTTTTTCCAATTTTATTTTTATATCGGGCTGTTTTTTTTTGTTGGGGAGGGGGGTTTATTTGTTTATTATTTATTTAAACAGTTTTAAGTAGACTCATATGCCAGCGCTGGCCCGGCCGAGCGTTTTGGTTTTTGGCGCGGACGTCGACTCGCCGAGTGGAAGCCGCTGTGAATGAGGGAAATGGAAATTGGTCGTTTTTGGCCCGTTGGCACGGTGGCGCCATCTGGTCTCACCCAAGACACCGGCCCCCCCCGACCAAGGACACTCCGCCTCGGGCTTTTCCTCAAAAAGCACCCTCCTCCCAGTATAACGTCCGCTTATATATCTTTAAAAAAATAAAAATAAATAAACAACCGCCCCATGATTTTTTTTTCGATTTAAAAAACCATAAAGAAACGAATCTGCAAAAATTGTCCATTCTTTAAAGAAAAATTTTGTCTAATTAAAAAACTAAAAAAAATAAATATTTTTTAATATAAAAAGGGAGAATAATAAAAAAGAAAATTTCCCGGCAAAGAAATGTACGTTGAATGAAAAATTGTCAGGTTTGTGGAGTACAATTTCCTAAGAGTAATGGGCCGAACGGCGGGGTTGCCGGTTGTTTCGGGCTCCCTCCCCTAGCGGCGGCGTTGCCGGCTCGAACCGCTCAATCCTGCCATTGTCTAACATCTTTCACATTCTCCCCCGGCTTTTCCGATACGGCCGGATATCACAGCTTTAAGCTCGCGCTTTGCCGTTTTTCCACTTCCGTCTTTGCCGGCGGCGTCCGTCTTTGCCGCTCTGTTTACAACCCCGGGCTATTTCGTCTCCTCCTCCCCCTCCCCTCATCGTCGTAACCAAAACGGTTGCTCCGGTGATGACCGTGTACGACCGCTTATGGGATCGTGCACGGGTGAACGCCACATTTTTACAAATAATCCTCCTTTTTTCCACTCTCATGTTTTCTAATTCCCTCGGAGGAATTTATTACGTTTAGAAAAGCTTTTTCGGCCTTGGGTTTGAAAAATTACCAACCAATTACGCACTAATTTCGAAATTAAACCGTAACGTTTATCATAAAGTGTACAGAATACCAGGGATAACGAAATAATGCATGTAACGTTGATTTTTTAACCTTTCAAAATCTCGTATTTTTTTTGCAATTTTCTCAAACGTTAGACCTGATATTTTTCGCCTCAGCCAAAACCCATTCATACTAGAAATTGTAAATGATGGAGTGAATGAGTTGTTCAATCTTTTTAAAAAGATCCTTTCATACTAATTTCGCGACTTTCAAAAGTTAACAGCTAGACCTGATATTTCTCCATCTCACATGAACCAATTCAATACTAATTTAGAGATTTTAAAAGTTGAAAGTTATATTTAATAATTCTCACTTAAGCTGACAAGTCTTTCATCTTGTTTTTGCGACTTTCAAAAGTTAAAAGTTAGACCTGATATTTCTTGAAAGTTTTACTTAATCATTCTCATGTAAGTTGACGCTCATTCATGCTATTTTCACCTTTCTCAAAAGTTAAAAGTTAGACCTAATAATTTCACCTCGTTACCTCAGATAAAACCCTTTCATACTAATTTCGCGATTCACAGAAGTTGAAAGTGATACCTAATAATTCTCATTTCAGACACATTCATACCCCAGTTGACAGCCTTTTGCCTTTTTTTTAGCATTTATTAGAAGTTAAATGTTAGACCTAATAATCTCATCTCAGCTAAAACCCTTTCATTTCTTTTCACGTTTCTCAGAAGTTAAAAGTTAGACCTAATAATCTCACCTCAGCTAAAACCGTTTCATCTTTTTTCGGGTTTCTCAAAAGTTAAAAGTTACACCTAATAATCTCACCTCACCTGACAGCCTTTTGACTTTTTTTTAGCATTTATCAAAAGTTAAATGTTAGACCTAATAATCTCACCTCACCTGACACTCTTTCGACCTTTTTTACCATTTATCAAAAGTTAAATGTTTGACGTAATATTTCTCCCCTTAGTTTAAAACCCTTTCATACTGTTTCGCGTTTTTCAAAAGTTGAAAGTTAAACTTAATAATTCTCACTTTAGCCTCTTTCCTATTATTTTCACTTTCTCAAAAGTTAATAATTAACCTAATAATTCTCACATAAGCTGACACTCTTTCATACTATTTCCTTTGGTCTCAGAAGTTAAAGTATAGACTAAATAATTCTCTTATCAGCTGACACTCTTCCATCATAATTATGCGTTTCTCAAAAGTTAACAGGTTAGATATTTTGCGATAGAACTAGCATTTGGTCTCATTTTTATTTTTGTTTTCATCATGTGGCGTCACCATTAGGCATTAGTTGATAAATCCAAAGCTCCAAGATGCAAACTTACACTTAAGTACGATTAAGTTGCATTTTCTGTTGAATTATGTAATACTTAGAAAGCGGACGAAATAGTTATTGTCGCACTATTAGAAAGTATTGACGGCGTTGTGTCTCAGTTCAATTAGCCTTCCTTCCGACACCTTATTTTTTAATTGCCTTAGGTTAAATTTTCTTATATCCTAATATCGTAAATAATACGCAATTTCTATGGAAAAATGTGTATGCAGGACGACCTGAAAACCGAAAATACAAATCGGTTAATAATCAAAAAACATCAATTTGTCTTTTTTGTAAGGCTTCCCATCCGCTTTCTTACCAGGTTTTATTATAAATCACGTCCATACAAGGTCGTTGTAAAAATTCCATTCAAATTTGAAAGTCTTGCTCAGGTATTGTGCGATCTGTTGGAGGTTTTTATCTAATTACACAGTTTATTCTTCAGCTTTATTTTTAGCTTTATAGTTCAAACAGAAGAGAATATAATAGAACCATGCTGTCCTTGCACAGTATCTGCAAGGGAACAGCAAATAGGCAAAATAATCAATTATAAGTACATGTCTCTTTGGGTATTACATTATTTAAATGACAGTTATTTTGTTGGTAATATAAAAATAATCACAGGAAAACAAACATTAACGTATTTAGTTGATTCCATCAATTGTAACAAAAAAATCATCAAAATTGTTCCTAAAAAAATATCCTACAGAGACTTTCAAATAATTCTCACATAAGCTGAAACGTTTTCATACTACTCAGTATTTCTCACAAGTTAGACCTACTACTTCTCACATAATCCGACACTCTTTCAACCTATTTTTGCGTTTCACAAATGTTAGTCCTAATGATTATTTGGAGATCGTGAGATGAGGTCTGGTGTGACGTATAGGTTTAGAAAAACATGCCAACGTTTCCATCTCTATTGAGATCATCTTCAGGAACCTGGGATTTATAAACAGTGTTTGAATTATACAAATACATGTAGGATGTGCAAAAAATGAATTTCTAGCATTGTATAAGCACGTTAGACCTATTATCACCTTAGCTGATATTCTTTCATTCAATTTTTGCGTTTCTCAAAATTTAAGTTATACCTAAGCTAGTACTTTTTCGTGCTATTTGCGCCTTTCTCAAAAGTTAAAAGAGATATCTATTAATTCTCACATATAGCTGACACTCTTTCATCATTTTTTCCTGTTTCTCAAAAGTTAAACATGAGACCTGATAGCTATCACCTCAGCTGACACTCTTTCTTCCTTTTTTCGCGTTTCTCAAAAGTTCACAGTTAGACCTAATAATGCTCACAAGCTGACACCCTTTCATCATATTTTCCCGTTTCTCAAAAGTTAAACGTTAGACCTGATAGTTCTTAGATTAGCTGACTACTATTTCATCCTCTTTTCGCGTTTCTCAAAAGTTAAAAGTTAGAACCTAATAATTCTTTCCTAAGCTGACACTTTTTCATGCTATTTTCTCCTTTCTCAAAAGTTCAAAGTTAGACCTATTAATTCTCATAAGCTGTCACTCTTTAATTATATTTTCTTGTATCTCAAAAGTTAAACGTTAGACCTGATAGTTATTAGATTAGCTGACTATTATTTCATCCTTTTTTTACGTTTCTCAAAAATTAAAAGTTAGAACCTAATAATTCTTTCCTAAGCTGACATTTTTTCATGCTATTTTCGCCTTTCTCAAAAATTCAAAGTTAGACCTAATAATTCTCATAAGCTGTCACTTTTTTATTATATTTTCCTGTTTCTCAAAAGTTAAACGTTAGGCCTGAAATTGTTAGATTAGCTTACCATTATTTCCTCCTGTTTTCACGTTTTTCAAAAGTTAAAAGTGTGGCCTAATAATTCTCACCAAAGCTTGAAAAATTTTCACGCTATTTTCGCGTTTCTCGAAAGTTAAAATTTATACCTAATAATTCCACCTTAGCTGAGAATCTTTCGTTCAATTTTGATATAAAAACCACAAAATGCAACAAAGAAAGAGTCATCGGAACAGATGCTAAAAACATGCTATAGACTTTCTTTTTTCGACTTATAAACCGTACTTATTAGTCGTAGTAGATTAGTCCGTTTATCTACATTTTTATTTCTTTCCTCATAGCCTTGTAGAAGTAGACCTACGTATTTACAGACAGATTTAGCCGTAAATAAATTTTCAAGAGAAGTTATACTCAGTGTTTAGGATGTTTTTACGTCAAGTGAGACAGGATTATTTTTTCACTTGGTCACAGTATTTCCTTTGTCGCGTTTGAAATTCTTCAGGGTCGCTAAGCCATTCGATACAAATTATTCCAAGTCAAAGTCGCCTTAACAGCGTTTGTTTTTCTGTCTAATTATCAATGCTTATCCGCACGTTTTGAATTTACTGTGGTGTTCTGTTATTGTTTGATCACACATTAAAATGGACCATTCTGTTCAACCATAACTCTGCTGAATTTCAAGGCTTGAGGTTGGGAA